AGTGTCTCTAGAGGACCTTTTCCATGACTGAACAGGCTTCTGAGGTACCACCTTTGTCTGAAGTCTTCACAAACTATTATATAGTCACACCTTCTACTTTACCTTTAGGCCATGTTATGGTCCCCACCAAATTCATATGTTGATGCTCCAACCCCTACTGTGATGTTATTTGGAGGTAGGGCCTTTGGGTCATCATTACATCATTACATTTGGAGGAGGTCATGAGGATGATGGGATTAGTGTCCTTACAAGAAAAGGAAGAGACTCGAGATGGCTTTCTCTCCACCATGTGAGGGACACATCAAGAAGGTGGTCATCTGCAAGCCAGGAACAGGGTCTTGCCAGGAGTCAAATCTGCCCACATCTTGATCTTGGACTTCCCAGCCTCCAGAACTGTAAGGAATAAATGTCCATTTTTAAGATGCTCAGTCTATGGTATTTTGTTACAGTAGCCCAAGCTGATGAAGACAGATTTTGGTACTGAGTAGTGAGGGTGTTGCTGTGACAAATACCTAAAAATGTGGAAGTGACTTTAGAACTGGGTAATGGGGAGAGGCTGGAAGAGTCAAGAGGTGCATGCTAGAAATGTGGATGGGTAAGTCCATTTTGGTAAGGCCTTAGAGGAAAATGGGAAGCATGTTGTTGGACAATGGAGAAAGGGTAATCCTTATTGCAAAATGGCAAAGAACTTGGTTGAACTGTGTCCTAGTGCTTTTGAAGGCAGAACTTGAGAGCAATGAAACTGGATACTCAACAGAGATTTATTTCTAAGACGTGTTTGAAGGGCAGCTTGATTCTTCCTCCTACTAATAAAATGTGAAAGGAAAGAGATGAGCCTAAGAAAGAATTGTTAAACCAAAAGGAACTAGAACCTAAAGATTTAGAAAATCCTCAGCCTGTCCACATTCCAAAAAATTAGAAATTGTGTTTGAAAGAGAACACCGAAAGATGTGATTGGACCATCACATGACAGACACTATCATGAGTAGAGATAATACATTATACATCTAAACTTGTTAGTAGAGGGTGCTTGGGTGGCTCAGTGGATTAAGCCTCTGCCTTCAGCTCAGGTCATGATCCCAGGGTCCTGGGATCGAGGCCCGCATCAGGCTCTCTGCTCCCCAGGGAGCCTGCTTCCCCCTCTCTCTCTGCCTGCCCCTCTGCCTACTTGTGATCTCTGTCAAATAAATAAATAAAGTATTTAAACTTGTTAGTAGAGACTAACATGATTGAGATTATAGGAGCAGAAACAATGCTTGTTTGAACTGAAGGGAACCAAGACAGGAAGATATGAAGGAAGGCTTCTGGACTTCTTAGATTCTACAAAACAGGGCAACAAAGTTAAGTGGCTGTGAATGTGCACTATTCTTCAAGAAAAGAGAAAGATGATCCCAAAGGCAATTCAGAATCATCAGGGCCAATGCCTTGGTTTTGATAGGCCAGAGAGGATTCATCTGAGGCCTGGGGGCAGGACTGGGCCACCTAGCAGAGCCATGTGAGTGGGACCTTGTCTAGCAAAGCTGCAGGGGTAGGACTGCAACCCCAATGGGTCCAGAGGGCAGAATCTCAAACCAGAGAGGATTCTCTAGCCTTAAAATAAAAATCTAATGGTATTTGCCTTACTAGGTTTTGGACTTGCTTGGCACCCATCACCCCTTTCCTTCTTCTGATTTCTCCCTTTTGGAATGGGAATGGCTAGCCTGCACATGTCTTACCACTGTATTTTGGAAGCATGTAACTTATCTGATTTCACAGAGGAATTTTGTTTCAAGATGAATTACACCTACAGTGTCACCCACATGTGATTTAGATGATATTTAGGTTCTTTGGACAGTGGAGCTGAGGTAGGAGAGTTAAGTTTTGAGCCTGTTGAAATAGAATGAATGTATTTTGGGTGCAAGGACATGAATTTTGGGGGCCAGGTATTTTCTAACAGCAGCCCTAAGACAGACACATTTCCTTGCAGTAATCTGGGTTTGATCCTTGCTTGAAAGTCACTGCTAAATTTTAGCACTGGCTGTCATCTAGAGAGACTAAAATCTCAAAACTGTAAAGTCTTGGTTCCTTCCTGTTTAATAAAAACCAGGCAGTACCTTCTGCTTAGAAACCGCCTTATTAGATCACCCACTTCATTGGGAACATTCTCGCTTTCCACATAATGGCGGAAGACACGGTTTCTAAACCTTGTGTTACTTCATATCCAGGATCCCCTTTCCTCCAGTTTTCAGTAACACGTTCCTTACTTTCTTTGAGCCCTCACTGACAGTATCTTCAATGTCCAGATTTTTAAAAATTATTTTATTTATTTGAGAGAGCACGCGGGGTGAGGGGCAGACGGAGAAGAAAGCTCTCCACTGAGCAGGGAGCTGGATGCAGGGCTCCATCCCAGAACTCTGGGATCATGACCCAAGCCAAAGGCAGATACTTAACTGATTGAGGCACTCAGGTGCCCCCAAAGCCTATATTTCTAATAAGTTTCTTCAAGATAGGCTTTCTTTAATGCACTCCTAAAAATCATTCCAGCCTCTGTTCACTGCCTGGTTCTTTCTGTTTTTAAAAGACTTTATTTGAGAGAGGGAAAGAGAGATCACAAGTAGGCAGAGAGGCAGGCAGAGGTGGGGGGGAGCAGGCTCTCTGCTGAGCAGAGAGCCCGATGTGGGTCTTGATCCCAGGACCCTGAGACCATGACCTGAGCTGAAGGCAGAGGCTTAACCCACTGAGCCACCCAGGCGCCCCATCACTGCCTGGTTCTAAGCCACTCCCACATTTTAGGTAGTTGTTATGGCAGCATCCCACTTCCAGGCACCAAAATCTGTATTAGTTATTTGTGCTGCATGACAAATTACTCCCAAATTCGATGTCCTAAAAACAACATTTGTTATCTCAGTTTCTGTGGGTCAGGAATTTGGGCACAATTTAGCTGGGCGCTTCCTCCTGGCACAGAAGGCTGTAATCACCTCAAGGCTCAACTGGGGGACGATCCATTCTAAGGTCATTTATGTGGTCTTTGGCAGGTCTCAGGTTCTCATTGTCAGTTGGCAAGAGACAGTAGTTCCTTGACATGTGGGCCCCTCTACTAGGCAACTATAGTGGGCTGATTAGTATCCTCCCCTCCAAATTTATGTCCACATGGAACCTCAGAATGTGACCTTATTTAGAAACAGCATCTTTGCAGATGTAATTAAGACAAAATCATACTGGATTAGGGCAGGCCCTAAATGCAATGATAGTGTTTTCATAAGAGGCCACAGAGAAGGAGGCCATGTGAAGACAGACAGAGACTGGAGTAATGCACTCCTGTTGCCCAAGGAATGCTGAGGACTGCTGCAAGCCACCAGAAGCTTAAAGAGGTAAGGAAGGATTCTCCCCTAGAGACTTCATAGGGAGCACAGCTCTGCTAACACATAGAATTCAGACTTTTGGCTTCCAGAACAGTGAGAAAATAAAATTCCTGTTATTTTAAATCACCCAGTTTATGGTAATTTATTATGGCAGCCCCCAGGAAACTAATAAAGAACCTCACATTTGAGCTGGCTTCTTTCAGAGCAAATGAGGAAGAGAGTAAAAGAGGGTGCCCAAGATGGAAGATAAAGTTTTTCTGTAATGTAATCTGGGACAGGACATCTCATCCTTAGAATCAAGTCCCCAGGGCGCCAGGGTGTCTCAGTTGGTTAAGTGACTGCCTTCAGCTTGGGTCGTGATTCTGGAGTGCCGGGATCGAGTCCCACGTCTGGCTCCTGGGTCCATGGGGAGTTTGCTTCTCCCTTTCACCTTCTCCCCTCTCATGCTCTCTCTCTTTAAAACAAACAAACATAAAAACTTAAAAAAAAAAAAAAGAGCAGTATGATCTCTTAAAAAAAAAAAAGAAGAAGAAGAAGAAGAAGAAGCAGCAAGTCCCCAGATTAGCCCATAAGCAGGGTGAGGGGATTACACAAGATCATGAATACCTAGAGGTGGGCATCATTGATGGCTACATTAGAAGTTGCCTACCACAGCCACCTCCCCAGCAAAAATGGAGGAAACTTCTTCCTCTGGGCTCTGCCTTCTCCATTCACTGATTCCTTTAGCAAATATGTATTAAACACCTGCAATGGATTAAGTTTTGAGGATGTGGTCAATAGTACAGGTAAGATTCTTTCTCTTTTTTTTTTTTTTAAGATTTTATTTATTTATTTGACAGAGAGAGAGAGATCACAAGTAGAGACGCAGGCAGAGAGAGAGAGGGGGAAGCAGGCTCCCCGCTGAGCAGAGAGCGTGATACGGGGCTTGATCCCAGGACCCCGAGACCACGACCTGAGCTGAAGGCAGAGGCTTCAACCCACTAAGCCACCCAGGTGCCCCAAGATTCTTTCTCTTGAGATCATTTACAGCTTAGTTGGGGAAAGAACACTAAAGAATAACAAACAAACACATAAATAAAAACTGTGGTAAGTACAAGAAAGTAAGTTATGAGACAACAAGAAAATCTGACTTAGATTGGGGATAAGAATTAGACATGTCTTTCTGATAAAAAAATCTTGTTTTTTTAGATTTTATTTTTATTTATTTGAGGGACAGACAGTGTGAACTAGAGGGAGAGAGAATCTCAATCAGACTCTGCACTGAGCCCAAAGCCTAACACGGGGTTCCATCGCATGACCCTGAGATCATGACCTGAACTGAAACCGACTGAGCCACCCTCGTGCCCCTAAAACGGTATTTGGAATGTGGTTGAAGAACATGTAGAGTAACAGTCAATGAGTTGAGTTGCCACACTCAGTGTATGAGCTCTTCATCTCTGCATTTCTATATGTAACACAGTGCCTGACACAGCGAGGCACCTGATAAATTATTATGGAAGCAACAAATGAATAAATCCCAGCACCTTTTATTTCCTATTTGAATAATGTCAATTCATCTAGAAATTTCCTCCCAAAGTTCGCTGCTGGACCACTGCTCTTATTTATATTAGACAGCACAGGCAAAGCTGCTATTACAAAAAGACTCAACTACATAAAAGATCCAAACAATAAAGGTTTATTTTTTCCCCATATAACAGTCCTGGGTGGATATATAAGTCAATGAAGCAGAGATTCTCCTCTACTCAGCAATCTTCCATCTTGAAGCCTTGCCTTCTCCAGAACCTTCTCATCATCGTCTAGCTGGCAGAGTAAGTAAGAGCACCTGTTGACAAATTTTCTGGACCCAGCCCGACAACGGTGCACATCTCTCCTGTTCACTTTTCATTGGGGAGAGCACAGCACTGGTTGCTACTTAAGGGGGGCTGAGAAACGCACTGTAGGCGTATGGCCAACAAAGAGGACAACGACATCCGCACCACAATATATATCCAATTACTTGAGTTATCCTCTGCTATATCACACAAAATCCTCAAATTATCCACGACAGAAAAAGACTGTGGATTCCCCACCTTCACCAGCACCATCATCCTTCCAGTTGCTGAAGCCAGACTCAGGATAAGTTACTCTTGTTTCATTTCTTATTCTTACCTTCCAAATCGAATCCTTCAGGAAATACTGTCAACTGTATCCCAAAACATACATAAATCCGTCTACCCCATCTTTGCTGCCGCTGCCTGAGTTCAAGCATCAAAATAATCTCTCATCTGGATTATGCCAATAGCCTCTTAACAGCTCTCCATGTCTCCACTCTTGCTTGCCCATATTTCTCTATCTAGCAGAATGATCTTTCAAAACATAACTAACTTCGACCGCATCACTCTTTGGTTAAAGACCTTCCAGTCATAGAATAAAATCTAAAGTCATTACCATGACCCTAGGGTGTATGATACAGCCCCTGCCCACTTCTCCAACCTCATTCTTTGTCATTTTCTCCTTCCACTTGCTCTGCTCCAGCTACGGTGAACATTCTGCTGGTCCTTGCACATATTCAGCTTATTTGCACTTTAAGATTTTTTGCACCTGCTGTTCCACCCGCCCAGAAATCTCCTCCTCAGATTTCCAACGGTCAGCTCCTTTTCGTTTCTCAGGGGTCTCAGCTTAAATGTTACCTCCTAGGAACCCTTCCCTGATCATCAACTAGGAAAAGTCCCCACATCCAGTTATCCTCTTACCTCAGCATCCTGTTCACTTTCTTCTTAGTATCTACAAACTCTGTCTCCCTCTGTTTATTTGCTGCTTAGCTTTCCTGAAAGTAAGATCCACGGAGGAGGTACCGACTCTTGTTTCTGTTGTTTCCCAAGTGCTGGGCAGGGCTGCTACAGGGTGGTGCTCAGTACGTAACTGAACGAATTAAGACCCACCAAGAGGCGATCTGCCAACAGCTCGTACAAGGTCCTGGGACAGGTAGTTGGTGTAGTGGAAGGGGCACAAACGTGGGTTCCAATTCGGACTTGACCACTTCTCAGCTACGTAACCTGTAAACGCGGGGATAGAACCTGGTGTGGGAAGAGAGCCTCACGTAAAATTAGCCCTCCGAACATATAACTATGACTACTATTATTATACACAGTTCTGTTCTCTTACCGCTGGACCCGTCCAGGACCTCCGTTTCCTCTTCATCCGGAGTTGAAACATCCCGCCCCGGCTCCTCCGCGAAGGCTGTTTCTGGCGGAACGAACCTCTTTCCCCGCCCGGGAAAGGAAACCAGGAGCGCGAACGCCACTCCAGTCAGGGTGCGTTCTCCAGTGGCTCCGCCCCCGTCTTACGCCATTAGCGCGACGCCAGCGCTGCGGAGGGCCCCGGGGCCTGTCTTGAGTATGGCGCAGCTTGAGGGGGCCCTGGCAGACGCCTGCAAATCAACCTCGTGATTTGGGGGCGCTCGGAAACCCCCGCGGACGGCGGCGAGCAGCACGTGCAGCCGTGGGTGAAAGGAGTCGGGCGGCAGGACGGGCGGCCCATAGCTCAGGCGGGACACAGAGCCGGCAGGCGGGCGGCCGGCCGGCAGGGCTGCCCGGCGCGGGTGTCCCGGCGATGTGTGGCGCTGAAGCGGCATCGGGAGCAGCAGCGGCGGCGGCGGCGGCGGCGGCCTCGGCTTCGGCTTCGCAGCGGTGCCGGCGGCGGAGACGGAGGCGCAGGTTCCTCATTAGGACCTGGCGAGCCCAGGCCTAATCGGCGGCCCCGCGAGGCCTCTGCATCGCGCCCCGGACGGGGACCCTCCCCGCCTCGCCCTGCCCCGGGAGCTTGCCTCCCCGGCCGGGGATGAAGCCGGGAGGCGGCCGCGCGGGGCCCAGCACAAAGGCTTGTCCCCGGGGGCCGCCGCCGCCAGCCTAGAGCCGCCCACCGAAGCGGAACCGGCGCCGGGGCCCTCATCCCCGCCGGTCCCTGGGGGCGGCTGCTGCCCGTCTCCCCGAGGCCCAGGGGCCCGAACGCCGAGCCCCGTGCTCCCTCGGCTACGGTGGGACCGGGCAGCTGCGCAGTCTCCGCCGCTCCCGGCCGTAGAGGCCCCACGGAGCATGTCCGAGGAGAGCGACATGGAGAAAGCCATCAAGGTAAGGGGGAGATGCCCCCTTCCTCCCCGCTTTGTCCCTGTGGCATTCCTCTCGGCTCAGCCTCAGAAAGCGGAGAGAACTTGGAGTGAGAGATGCCAGCGACTCCGGGTTTCTGTCTTTCCAGATTCCGTGGACTGCGTTTTACAGCCCTGGGGCGAATGGTTTGTGTATATGTAGGGAGGGATGTCCGACTCCCTCTGACTTCCCTGATTAAAGTAGGGATGTGATTTGTACTCATCTAAATCGCAAGGTGAGTGGAGTGGAGATACTTGTTAGGAGTGGGAAGGAGAGGGCCCTACTACTCCACTTTCGATCACTCTCCAAGTGCCGCCAGTATTTGTTTCCGGATGATCTACAACAGTATTTGGAGAGTTGGACTTTACCCATCGCTCTCCATTTGTTTGAAACCAGCCTCCTCAAAACCTGCAGTTTCAGACGGGGTGGCTCGCCTTCTTACAAAAATCTGTCTTTTGGCACATACTGTTTTTACTTTTGCGTATGTTCCCTCACCTTTTCCTTTTTCCTCTCCTCCTAGGGAGCATTTAATTTATTGAGGAAGAGCTCATGGTGTTCTGTGACTTACTGCTCTGTTAACAACCACAACAAAGCAAATATGTGTGTTCTAAAATGACCCAAATAAAGTAAAAGTTTTTAAAAATGTGCTTTTTACTCTTTTTTTTAATAGGCAAACTTTGAGGTATTAATAGTCAGAAAGTCATCTAGCTGTCGCTAGGAAATTAGAATCTTGTGTAAATTGAGCCCGAAGTTCAATATGTATCATTTACTTATTTTGCAGTATTAAATAAGTGTATTTAAGAATTTCATTTTCCCTTGAAGGACAGGTATCCATTGGCAACTTAGGGTTATTTTCCCCCTTCAATACACAGTTAAAAAGCCACACTTGTAATAAGTTTTTGTATAGCAAAGCTTATAGAAGTCATCTGTCTTTCCAAAGAAACTTCACTTTTTAAAGAAGGCATGGAAATATACACATACACATTAAGGAAGATCAAATCTTAAATAATAGAAATAAACGTTCTAAAAGACTGCATTTTTTTCTTTTGGTTTGGATTTTATTTGTACAGTGTCCTGAATTGTTACCTAAAGTTATATGATTGGGTTGTGACTCAAAACATATATGGCAGATTTTTAAATTCAGGTATTGTCTGTTTTTTTGCCAAGTGCTGTCTTAGGCACTGGTGGTGCAAAGCCACACTCCCAGATGGCCCTGCTGTCATGGAGCTTATATTCTAGATGGTGGAGTTAGGTAATAAACATTGCCAGGTGCTTATAATTATGAGAAGGGTGGGGGGTATTACTTTAGGAAGAGTAATCAGGGAAGGCCTCTCTGAGGAGGTCACATTTGTGTAGAGGTCTGAAGGGAACGAGGAAGCAATCCTCCACTGTCTCAGGGAAGAGTATGACAGGCATTAGGAACAGCAGATACAAAGGCTCTGAGGTAGGTATAAGTCTTGCCTGATCCAGGAACAGCAAAGTGAATGCAGTGGGGTCAGTGATTATGTTTTAGGGAGATGATGGAAAGCTAGAGAACATAGGGGCTTGTAGACCATTGTAGGGACTTTGGCTTCAACCTTGAGTACAGAGGAACACTAGGAAATTTTGAACAGAAGAGGGACACAGTTGTAATGGATAAATATATAAATGGGGAGGCAATGTTATATAGTGGTTACCACTGTTTCTCTAGGTAAACTCATGGGTTAAAATCTCAGCCTTGCCATTCATTAGCTGTGTCCTCGAGTAAGTCACTTCACTTCTCTGTCCCTTAGTTTCCCCACTCATAGAAAGGAGATAAAACACTCCACGGCTCATAGGGTTTTTGAGTATTTAATGAACAAATATATCTAAATGTGCTTACAATAATCCCTAACATTTAGTAGGAACTTAATGAATGTTAGCTCATAGCAACTAAAGAGTATTTTAAGAAAGTCTTGATTTCTTCACTTGGTCACTATTGCCCAGTCTGACTTTCTTAAATTTTTTTAGCTTTTCTTCATGTACTTGACAGTCATCGGTGAGTCTGCCTGCTAGTTTGTGTCCAACCAACACAAATAAGTGGAGTTGAAAATACCGGATCCAACAACCAGTACTGACTAGAATATACTCCCTTGCAAGCAAGCCAGCATCACATCAAATAAAACTTCTCTGTGGCATTGTATTGTATTCATTGTTTTGCTTTCTTGAGAATGTCCCTCAGTGGTGAAGTCTAAGACCAGTGTAGTTAGCTGGAAAAGCTGTTTTCCTGGGCTCTAATCAGACCATTTAAACTTCTGCTTCCTGGAATACCTGGTTGGCTTGGTTGGTTAAGTGTCTGCCTTTGGCTCCGGTCATGAGCCCCTGGTCCTGGGATGGGCTCCTTGCTCAGCAGGGAGCCTGCTTCTCTCTCTACCTGCTGCTCCCCATGCTTGCTCAGTCTCTCTCTCTCTGACAAATAAATAAAATCTTAAAAAACAACAAAAAAAACAACAAGAAAAAAGTTTCTGCTGCCTGACTACCCAAGAGCAGTCTGATTAACATCTCATCCTATTACTCTTCAGAATAATTAGGATATGGCCAAGGCAACAACCTTAGGCTCTGTCTTCTCATTTCTGTCTCCTCTTCCCTAGCCCCATGACCTCACTATTCCTAAGGCACTTCGCTAAACCTGGAGAAAGCATTTTGGAATTAGGGATTGCTTACGTACTTGCCTTCTCTGGTATATGGCAGAGTTCTTTTTTTTTTTTTTTTTTAAGATTTTATTTATTTATTCGACAGAGACACAGCAAGAGGGGGAACACAAGCAAGTTGAGTGGGAAAGGGAGAAGCAGGCTTCCCGCTGACCAGGGAGTCTGATGCCGGGCTGGATCCTAGGACTCCGGGTCATGACCTGAGCCGAAGGCAGACGCTTAACCCACTAAGCCATCCAGACACCCCGTATATGGCAGAGTTATTTTTTTTTTTTTTAAAGATTTTTTATTTATTTATTTGACAGAGAGAGATCACAAAGCAGGCAGAGAGGCAGGCAGAGAGAGAGGAGGAAGCAGGCTCCCTGCTGAGCAGAGAGCCTGATGCGGGGCTCGATCCCAGGACCCTGAGATCATGACCCGAGCTGAAGGCAGCGGCTTAACCCACTGAGCCACCCAGGTGCCCCTATGGCAGAGTTATTAATATTTGATGAATTTAGTGAAAATTCATCTCCTTAGTTTTAAAAATATTTTAAAAATTGCAGTATAATTTATATACCATAAGATTCACTCAATGTAAGTGTGTAGTTGAAGACTTTTTAGTAAGTTTACAGAGTTGTGCAACTATCATCACAATCATCACAATCCAGTTTTAGAATATTTCCATCTCAGGGCAACTGGGTGGTTCAGTGTGTTGGGTGTCTGACTCGGTTTTGGCTCAGGTTATGATCTTGCTTATGAGATCAAGCCCTGCCTTGGTCTCCGTGCTGGGTGTAGAGCCTGCTTGGGATTCTCTCCTTCTCTCTCTCTGCCTCTCCCCTCCTCACCCCAAACCCCTCCCCGCTGCCAACCCTGCATTCTCCTCTTTCAAATAAATGGATAAAATCTTTAAAAGAAAGAAATAATATTTCCATCCCCCTTGAAAGTTCCTTTTGCCTCTTTGTAGTCAGCCTCTACTCCCACTCCCCACTCCAGACAATCACTGATACACTTTCTGCCACTAGTTTTGTCTCTAGGAATTCCAAATTAATGGAATTGTAGAATACGTAGTCTTATGTATTTGGCTTCTTTTACTTACAATACTTTTTAGTGCATATATTAGGAGTTTTTTTTATTGTAGCGTAATTTTTATTGTTTATTCATCCCCAGTTGATAGACATTTAGATTCTAGTTTCCAGTTTTAGCTAATATGAACAAAATGATAAATAAAACTTGCCCATACAAGTTTTTGTGTAAATATTTGTTTTGATTACTTTTTTAAAAGATTTTATTTATGTGATAGAGAGAGAGAGATCACAAGTAGGCAGAGAGACAGGCAGAGAGAGAAGGGGAAGCAGGCTCCCTGCTGAGCAGAGAGCCCGATGCGGGGCTCAATCCCAGGACCCTGAGATCATGACCTGAGCCAAAAGCAGAGGCTTAACCCACTGAGCCATCCAGGTGCCCCTTGTTTTAATTTCTTCTGGGTAAATACCAAGGTATGGAATTACTGGGTGGTACAGTAAGTTTATGCTTAACTTTTTAAGAAACTGCAAAACTTTTCCAGAGTAGCTTTACCATTATTCATTCCTACCAGTAGTGTTTGAGGGCCTTTTTTTGTTTTTGTCTTTGTTTTTATTTTTGTTTCCCTCCTGACAAATATTTGGTATTGTTAGTCTTTCCATTTTAGCCATCCTAGTGGTTGTGTAGTTGTTCTGATTGTGGTTTTAATGTGCATTTCACTAATGATTGTTTCCGTCGTGTAGTGGTTATCACGTTCGCCTGACACTAATGACTAATATTGCTGGTCAGCTTTTCATGTGCTTGTTTGCCATTTATGTATCTTTTCTTTTTTTTTTTTTTTTTAAGATTTTATTTATTTATTTAACAGAGATCAAAAGTAGGCAGAGAGGCAGGCGGGGGGGGGGAAGCAGGCTCCCTGCTGAGCAGAGAGCCCGATTAGGACTCGATCTCAGGACCCTGAGATCATAACCTGAGCCAAAGGCAGAGGCTTAACCCACTGAGCCACCCATGCGCCCCGTGTGTATCTCTTCTGGTGAAATGTCTATTCAGATCATTTGCCCATATTTAAATTGGGTTATTTGTCGTCTTATTGAGTTGTAAGAGTTCTTTACATGCTCTGAGTAAAAACTAATTCTAATGCTATTGAGCATCTTTTCATATGTTTGGCATTCACATATTTTTTTCTCGGTATTTAATTGTATTAAAATCTTTTACTCATTTTTAAATTGAGCTGCTTTTCTTATTACTGAGTTAGAAGAGTTCTCTCTAAACTCTGAATAAAAGTGATTTATCAGATACATGATCTGCAAATATTTTTCCCAGTCTGTGGCTTATCTTTTCACTTTTAATGGTTTTTAATCTTGATGAAGTCCAGTTTATCTTTTTTTTCTTTTTCTTTTATGGATTGTGCTTATGGTGTCATAACTAAGAAATCTTTGCCTAGCCTCAGGTTACAAGAGTTTTCAATGACATTTTCTTCTAGAAATTTTTGCCGTTTTTAGTTGTTTCTTTAGGTCTAATATCCACTTGGAATTAACCGTTATGTTTGGTGTTACATAAAGGTCTGAAGTTTTGTTTGTTTGTCTTTAATATGGATATCCAGTTGTTCCAGGACAGTTTGTTCAAAACACTGTCATTTGCCTATAGAATTACTGTGTATTACCTTTTTCAAGAATCAGTTTATCATCAGTGTGTGAGTTTATTTCTGGATTCTCTGTTCTGTTCTTGATTGATAGGACTACCCTTATGCTAGTAGCATACTTAATTTGATTACTGAAGCTTTATAGTAAAATTTCCAAAATTGGGTAGTATGAGAACAAACTTGGTTTCTCTTTTTCAAAATTAAGTTGCCTCTTCAGGTTCTTTATATTTCCAGACAAAATTTAGAATCATCTTGTCTGTTTCTACAAAAAAGAGTGCTGGGATTTTGACAGAGGTTCCATTGAATCTGTAGGTCAGTTTGGGACAGTTGCCATCTTAACGATATTGTCTTCTAATCCATGAACATGGTATAGCTCTCCATTTCATTAGGGCTTCTCCTATTTCTCTTAGCAATGTATTTGTAGTTTTCAGTGTATGGATCTTACACTCTTTAATAAATTTATTCCTAATATTTTGTTCTTTATGATGCTATTTAGAATTGTTTAATTTCATTTGGATTGTATAAAATCACTAATGTATAAAAATATAGTTCATTCCTATATTTTGATAATGTGTTTTGCATCCTTACCATATTTGCTAAGTTCTAGATTTTTTTTGTTGTTGTTTTGTAGGTTCTTTTGGATTTTCTACATATAAAAATCATGTTTTTGGAGCACCTGGGTGGCTCAGTGGGTTAGGCCTCTGCCTTCAGCTCGGGTCATGATCCCAGGGTCCTGGGATCGGGCCCCATGTCGGGCTCTCTGCTCCGGGGGGAGCCTGCTTCCTCCTCTCTCTCTCTGCCTGCCTCTCTGCCTACTTGTGATCTCTGTCAAATAAATAAATAAATTATTTTTAAAAAATCATGTTTTCAGCAAATAAATACCATTTTACTTCTTCCTTTACAGGATGTATGCTCTTAATTTTGTTTTCTTGCCTTATGCCATGGGTAGAACCTCAGGTACAATGTTGAATGAAAGTGGCAAAAGTGGACATCTTGCCTTATTCCTGATCTCAGGGGGAAAGCATTAAAGACTTATCACTGAGTAAGTGGTTTTGTAGATGTCCTTTGTCCAATTGAGGAGTTTCCTTCTGTTCTTGTTTGCTGAGAGTTTTTATCAGGAATAGGCATTGAATTTTTGTTAAATGCTTTTTCTTCCCCTGTTGAGTTGATCATACAGTTTTTGTTCTTTACTCTTAATGTGGTATATAGTAACATTATCCGATTTTCAGATATTAAACCAATCTTTCATTCTTGGTATAAACCCTACTTAGGCTGATGTAAAATTATTCTTACATGTTTCTGTATTCAGTTTGCTAATAATTTTGCTGAGGATGTTTGTATCTGTATTCATGAGAGATACAGGTTTCTAGTTTTCTTCTGATGCCTTTGTCTAGATTTGGTATGAGGGTAATACGTGACTCAGAATGACTTGGGAAGTATATCCTTCTTTATTTTCTGGAAGAATTTGTGTGGCGGTTTGGTATTATTTCATCAAATCAATAGTTCTCAATAGGGGGCAATTTTTGTCCCTCATAAGACATTTGGTAGTGTCTGGAGACATTATGATTATTCAGTGCAGGTGGGGGATGCTTCTGGCATCTAGCAGGTAGAGGCCAGGAATGCTCCTGAACATCTTAATAATGCACAGGACAATCTAACAACAAAGAAGTACCTGCTTCAAAATGTCAGTGATGCTGAGATGAGAAACTGCACTTTAAATGATTTGGTAGAATTTACCACCAAAACTGTGGGTCAAGTCTTTGCTTTGTGGGAAGATTTTTATTGTTGTTATTAATTCAGTTTCTTGTTACAGATGTATTCAGGTTTTCTATTTCTTCCTGAGTGAGTTTTAGTAATTTATATCTTTCTAGAATTTGTCCATTTCATCTAGTGGTCTAGTTTCTTGGCATAAAATTGTTAATGGTGATCCTTTATAATGCTTTGATTCCTGTAAAGTCAATTGTGATGCCCTCTCTTTCATTTCTAATATTAACAACTTGTGTTTTTTTCTCTCTTCAGTCTAGCTGAAGGTTTGTTAATTTTGTCATCTTGAAGAATCAACTTTTGGCTTTGAATTTTCAGTCTTCTGTTTTAAATTCTACCCTAGTTTTTATTATTTCTGTTTGCTTTGAGTGTATTTCTTTTTCTCTAGTTTTTCAAGGTGGAAGCTTAGGTTATTGATTTGTAATCTTTTTAACTTAGGGATTTAGAGCTGTAAATTTACACTAAACACCACTTTACCTGCACATCATAAATTTTAGCATATAGTCCCCTCAGAGCCATGGTTTTGCTTTCGATGGTTTTAGTTACCCATGGTCAGCCATGGTCTGGAAGCAGACAGTTCTTCTTCTGAGCCATCAGAAGGTCATTAGTAGTCTAATGCCTTGTCACATACGTCATTTACCTCACTTCTTCTCATCACATAGGCACTTTATTATCTCACCATCACAAGAAGAGGAAGAGTGAGTGTGGTACAAAAAGATATTTGTGTGTGAGAGAGAGGTCACATTCACATGAATTTTATTACAGATTATTGTTACAGTTGTTCTATTTTATTACTAATTATTGTTAGCCTTTTACCATGCCTAATTTATAAATTATAATTTATAATGTTAAGTTATATAAACTAAATTATTAAACTCTATCGTAGATATGTATGATAGGAAAAACATAATATATATATGGGATTTGGCACCAGCTTTGATTTCAGGCATTCCCTGGGAGTCTTGGAATGAAACCCCACAGATAAGGGGGGTTTTATTAATTCAGATCAAAACTTCTTTTTTAAAGATTTTATTTTTTTATTTGACAGAGAGAGACAACTAGAGAGGAAGCACAAGCAGGAGGAGTGGGAAAGGGAGAAGCAGGCTCCTTGCGACGTGGGGCTCCATCTCAGGGTCATGGGATCATGACCTGGGCTGAAGCCAGACGCTCGATGACTGAGCCACCCAGGTGCCCCAAGAGCAAAATATTTCTCAATTTCTCTGTTTCTTTTTTGACCCATTGATTATTTAGTAGTATTATATAATTTTAAAATTTTTGTTGATTTCTAGCTTAATTGATTTATAGCTTAAGTCTGTTATGGTTGAAGAACTTTATATGTTTTAAGTTTGTAAAAATTTACTGAGACTATGGTTCAGCATATGCTTTATCCTGAAGAATATTCCATGTGTGCTTGGGAAGAACATATATTCTCCTGTTGTTGGATGCAGTGTTCTATAGATGTCAGGTCAAGTTGGTTGACAGTGTTATCCTCTACATCTTGATGGTTTTCTGTTTAGCTTTTCTATTATTGATTTTTGAATTGTCTATTTTCCTCCTATATTCTCTCAATTTTTGCTTCATATATTTTTGGACTCTGTTGTTAGGTGGTTGCATAAATGTTTATAATCATCATATCTTCCTGTTGAATTGACCTTTTCATCCTTATAAAAAGTGCCTCTTTATTAACCACTTTTGTTTTAAGGTCTATTTTGTTTATTGTCTGTATGGCTCCTTCAGTTCTCTTATGGTTATTCATGGTATATTTTTTTCCATCCTTTTACTTTTTCTCCATTAAAAAGTTGTAAAAAGGGGTGCCTGGCAGTCGGTTAAGCATCTGCCTTCAGCTCAGGTCATGATTCCAGGGATTTGGGGTCAAGTCCTACATCGGACTCCTTGCTCAGCGGGGACTTGCTTCTCCCTCTGCCTGCTGTTCCCCCTGCTTGTGTGTGCTCTCTCTCTGTCAAGTAAATAAATAAAATCTTTTTAAAAAATTGTAATAAAATTACTCGTAACATAAAATTTATCATCTTAACTATTTTTAAATGTACGCTTCGCTGGTATTAAATATATATATAATGTGCGACCATCACCACCATCCATCTGTATAATTCTTTTGATCTTGTAAAGCTGAAACTCTGTACCTATTAAATAGTAACTCCTCTGCCTCCTTCCCCCAGCATCTACCAACCACCATTCTACTTTGCATCTCTATTAACTATATTGACTATATTGACTACTCTAAGCACCTCAGAAAAATGGAATTATACAGTATTTGTCTTTTTGTGACTGGCTTATTTCACTTAGCATAATATTCTCATGGTGCATCCATATTGTAGCACATTTGTGAATTTCCTTTCTTTTTAAGGCTGAGTGATATTCCATCATATGTATATAGACATTTAGGTCCTTTCCATGTTTTAGCTATTATGAATAGTTGTTATGAACATGGATATACAAATATCTCTTGAAGACCCTTTTTTTTAGTTCTTTTAGGTATATACGCAGAAGTGGAATTGCTGGATCACATGGTAATTCTGTTTTTAATTTTTTTTGAGGAACTGCCATTCTGTTTTTCATGACATTGGAAATGTTCCATTGTACATTCCCACCAGCAGTGCACAAGGGTTCCAATTTCTCCATATCTTCACCAACACTTGTTACTTTGTTTTTTAAGTAGTCTCCACACTCACCATGGAGCTTGAACTCAAAACCCTGAGATTAAGACCTGTGCTGACATCAAGAGTCTGACGCTTAGCCAACAGAGCCACTCAGGCACCTCTATTTCTTTGTTTTTTGATAGTAGCTATCCTAACAGGTGTGAGGTTTTATCTCATTGGAGTTTTTATTTGTATTTCTTCATGATTAGTGATGCTGAGCACCTTTTCCTGTGTTTATTGGCCATCTGTGTATCTTTGGGAAAATGTCTACTCAAGTTTTCAGCCCATTTTTTGAATCAGGTTGTTTTTGAGTTTTAGGAATTCTTGTATATTCTGGATATTAATCCCTTATCAGGTACTTGATCTGTGATATTTTCTTCCACTATGTGGGTTGCCTTTTTTACTCTGTTAATAGTGTTTTATGATGCACAAAATTTTTAAGTTTTCATGTTCATCTTGTCTAGTTTTCCTTTTGTTGCCTGTTCTTTGGTGTCTTATCCAAGAAATCATTGCCAAATACAATGTTACAAAACTCATGTCGTATGTTTTTTCCTAAGAATTTTATTGTTTTAGGTCTTATATTAAGGTCTTTGATCCATTTTGAGCTTTTGTGTATGGGGTTAAGTTTCCAACTTTGTTCTTTTGCTTGTATGTGGATACATACTCAGCATAATCACTTAAATCCTTTTATTTTTAACTTGTTTGCTTCTCTGATTCCAAAGTATATCTCTTATAGACAGCTATGGTTGGATCTTTTTTTTTTAATCCAGTAAATGTTAACTTTTTTACTATATCATTATTTTTATATCTGTCACAAATATATTTTGTTTCTTATTTACAAAAATAGACAATGGATAGATTTGCCTGTGGATTGTGGTTTCCTGACCCTTGGTCTAGAAGGATTCTGAAGAATTACTTTATTCTATGTATCTATATCCCTATTAACTTAAGACAGTATATATATTTCTTTAGCAGAATTCAATCAGGGTGTTTGTCATTGATGCCTTTGAAGTAGTCCATAATTTACTTCAGTGAAGGGTTTTAATTGACCCATGCCCTCCTCTATTCTCCTTGTCATTAAAGTATGTGAGAAAATAGGCCATCTACACATAGAAGAGTTCACAGATGAGTGTCGCTTCTCTTCCCCAGCCAGGCTTCTTGAGGGCTTAGACTGGTTATGTTTTTGGCACCGTCCACAGAGGTGCAGGAACGAAACCTCCCAAAGAGGACAAGAGGTGTCAGGAAAACAGAGTTCAGAAATCAGGGCTGTAGAGAGGCCTGGTAGTGCCTCTCTTACCTTCTGTAATGTCAAGTGCTAAACCTCCTGTCAGAGCCTCATCAGAGCCTCTACAAGTTGGACAGTTTTGGCTGTGTATCAGGCAGAGTACCATCACAGCACCAGCACCAGCACAGTGAAGAATTTGGTCTAATGTTATTTCTTAGCAACTGGGCGAATGAACAGTCCTTTGAACAGTCCAATAATTCCATGGAACAAATCTCTTTTTCCATGAATTTCCTCTGAGTGTATGTTTTCATTAGAGTTGAGGAAAAGGAGGGGTATAGCAAATGGTTTTATTCCACCATGAAGCTTAGACTATGCTCTCAACTCCCTCGTTCCCCATCCTGTGTTCCTCCGTCTGAAACACTTCTAAAGGCCATGCGGTAGAAACACAGGAGATAGGCAAGTTAAATGGGTAGGTTTGAATTCTTTTAGGAGGTGGTGACTGGGAACAGAGCCTGGGACCTCCCTGATTGGGCAAGATCTGTCCCTAATCTTCAGTGTAAGGCACTTAACTTTGATAGCTGGAATGAAGCTAGGGAAGAGGCCAAAGCCATAGATTCTAGTCTTATTAGTTCCTGTAACTCACTGTGTCACCTTGACAAGCTCCTTAACCCCAAAGTTTTTTAGAACCGAGCTTGTGTAATGATCTAACTGATCTTTCCCAAATCGATATCCCTCTATCATCCAGCTTTAGTCTACCTTTCTAGTCTCATATTACACAGTTATTGAGCATTTATTATATGATGAGAACCTTTATCAAGAACTGGACAGCAGAAAAGTAGAGATGACTATTGCAAGCTTTTTTTTTTTTTTTTAAGATTTTATTTATTTATTTGACAGAGAGAGATCACAAGCAGGCAGAGAGGCTGGCAGAGAGAGGAGGGAAGCAGGCTCCCCGCTGAGCAGAGAGCCCGATGCGGGGCTCCATCGCAGGACCCTGAGATCATGACCTGAGCGGAAGGCAGAGGCTTAAGCCACTGAGCCACCCAGGCGCCCCTGTAAGCTTATTTTGTAGACTTGCATATTAATTGGGCAGAAGCTCTGTTTTTTATCTCTGAACTTAGCCTCGTGTCTGGCACACACACCAACTGCTCAACGAGTGTGTGTTACATGGACAGATATCCTGTTCCTGTATACTGGGAATCGGGATTCTATTAGATTCTCATTGCAAGAAAACAGTTTGAAAATCTGATGAGTTACAGCCTAATTTCTCAAGGTCTCTGTTGGTTTCCTTTTCTTCCTGTGGAACCCTGAAAAATGAATTTTAGCCTACCATAACTTAAATATATGGCTTTCATGCCTGAAAGCCTATGGCAACAGAAGCTCAACATATAGTGATTAGACAGGAATTCCATAAAAACTTTCACTAAATCATAGAGGCTGTATCGGGAACTATTGAAAGCTATTCAAACTAAATAAAACAACTGAAAAAAGTAGTAGTAGTAGTAGGAAAAAAGTAGTTACACAGTGAATAGGACAGTATTTTTGTACTGAAGATGATGCTGTTAAAAATTAGATGAATTTACTATTATAGTCACTACTACCTTATTTGAACTTTTAAAAGTCTCAATTTATTTAGTTATTTCAACAATTTGATCAACTTCTTCAAGGATATAGGCCTTCTGTATCATAGAAGCCTGTATCAGAGCAGTCTTTCTGGAACTTCAGAAAATTCACTGACCATTTCATTTTAGCAATTGAATATTCAGCAGTGAAGCATTTTGAAAGAAAATCTTCCTCTCACACTCCCCCAACCCCTGAAAAACATTGAGTATCTTGTGGGTGAGCTGAAGAATTTCTTCTTACCCAAAAGTGTTTGCTTTCTTTTTAGCTGGAAAACAGTGCCTGACTTAGTCATTTAGAAGAAATACCTAATTATAAAGCCAAAAGAACGCAAAGCACTGCTTATCAGTTTCTCTTAGAAAATGAGATACTGGGGTGCCTGGGTGGCTCAGTGGGTTAAGCCTCTGCCTTTGGCTCAGGTCATGATCTCAGGATCCTGGGAATGAGCCCCGCATGGGGCTCTCTGCTTAGTGGGGAGCCTGCTTCCCCCACTCTCTCTGCCTGCCTCTCTGCTTACTTGTGATCTCTTTCTGTCAAATAAATAAATAAATAAATAAAAAGAAAGAAAATGAGATCCTGAGTGATAAGGTTACCTGTTCCACCCTACTCAATTATTCAGCTTTTTAATTGGAGAATCATTGTCTGCCCCTCCCTTTTCTATTTTAATAGGAAACCTCCATTTTAGAGGAATACAATATCAATTGGACTCAGAAGCTGGGAGCTGGAATTAGTGGTCCAGTTAGGTAAGAGACCCACGTGCAAACTATGGCAGAATTACTCTGCAAAGGGCCTTTTGACATACATCATACTTTAGAAGCATCAGGTGTGCCAGATTTGTGAAATAGCTTTAATTTAACAAGTGGAGGTATTTATGTAAGACTTTTCCTCATCCATTTAGAAATATATTTAAGGGGCGCCTGGGTGGCTCAGTGGGTTGAAGCCTCTGCCTTCAGCTCAGGTCATGATTCCAGGGTCTTGGGATCGAGCCCCGCATCGGGCTCTCTGCTCGGTGGGGAGCCTGCTTCCTCCTCTCTCTCTCTCTCTCTGCCTGCCTCTCTGCCTACTTGTGATCTCTCTCTGTCAAATAAATAAATAAAAAATCTTAAAAAAAAAAAGAAATATATTTAAATGACTGATTCACATGATCTGTAACATAGAATCACTTATGGTATGAGACTGAGGCACCTGGGCAACTCAGTTGGTTAAGTGTTTGACTCTTGATTTTGGCTCAGGTCATGATCTCAGGGTTGTGAGATCGAGCCCTGTGTTGGGGTCACCCTAGATGTGGAGCCTGCTTAAGATTCTCTTCTTTTCCCTCTGCCCCAACCCCTATTCTCCCTCTCTCTCTCATAAAGAAAGAAAAGGATATTGAGACTATGGAGCTACCATGAGAGTTTTCCTTTAGCTGGCAGAGGCCATCCTTGGCCATTCCTTCCTTGGCTGTCCTCAGTTTGCTTCCACATGGCTCAGGAGCTGAGGCCTATGCCAGGAAGGTGAAATGGCTTTTCTGCCTTTCTACCTGCTAGCCCTCAGGGCAAGTTTGGATGCACCCAGATATATTCTTGATTAGAAGTACAATTCTAAAAGAACAAACTTGTTAAATTAGTTTTCAGTGTTAACATAGATGATTTCTGATTGAATTTTTTCCCTCCAAATCTAGAGTCTGTGTAAAGAAATCTACTCAAGAACGGTTTGCACTGAAAATTCTTTTTGATCGTCCAAAAGCTAGAAATGAGGTACGACCCTTTATTGCCTTGCTTGCCTAAATATTTGAAGTGCCTATGAAGTATCCTTTTTACAAGTAAGGCAGCTTCCTGGAGGGAATACAGAGATGCACAAAGAATTTTATATCCACATTTACCCCTTTTTCCTATTCCTGTTATCATTACAAAGTGGTCCCAAAGGTTGTCAGTCTTTACTTCTTTGAACTACCTCTTGTTCTTTTTCAATTAATGTGGTTCTTATACCCTGAAGTATTCAGGTTTACCTCAACTTGTACTTATTGGACAAAATCCTTGAAGAGTAGAGAATGGCGACTAGTGTCTTGTAAGTGTGCTGCAGGAGGGCTGTGAGGATGTGTTTCTAGTTCTAAAAAATACACATTTGTTTTAAGTCATCTGGGTGTGGTGAAGACATACTAGTAACATGTGCAGTGGATGGTGTATTCTTTTGCTTAGAGATATACGAATAATTTCTGAAACAAAATAAGTTATTTGCCAGATTTTCATTTGCTAATGAATGGGGCAGCAGAAAGTAAATCCGTTGGTGAGGTGGTATGTTTCCTCTGTTCTCTTTAAGGTACGTCTGCACATGATGTGTGCCACACACCCAAATATAGTTCAAATTATTGAAGTGTTTGCTAACAGTGTACAGTTTCCTCATGAGTCCAGCCCCAGGTAAGACCGCATGGAGGTGATCACCACATGTCCTCCTCTTTACATGTAGGCCAAGGTATAGTGGGGTTTTCTTCTCTTTTGTGCTGTTTTTTTCTGCCCTCCCCTTTCTCTCCCTCCCTCCTTCCTCCCTGCCTGCCTGCTTCCCTCCCTCTTTCTCTCTTCTCTTCTTTTCTTTTGGAAATCTTCAAACAGTTGTAAAAGCAGACAGAATTGTATAATGAATCCCCAGGTAGCCATCACCCAGCTTCAGCAGTTACCAACTCATTGCCAGTCTTGTTTCATCTCTGCCCCATCCACTCTCTGGTACCCCCTGATTATTGTGATTACTTCCTCTTAAAAAAAAAAAAAGTATGTAGTGTGGAATTAAAACAGATTCTATTTCAAATTAGTGAAAGGGGACCAGATAATACTAGGCACTGGCTTAGAGTTGCTATGGCAACAAGCCCTTATTGCTTAGTCTGACATTCTTTTTAAAGGAAGAAATCAACATTATTCTTTTAGCCGCCAAATGTTTGGCAAGCCCACTGGATGGCATTCTAAGTGTCTTCCAGGTAATTCAAAGTTAAATAAGGTATGATTTCTACTGGGGACCGAGATGTAAACCTATCATCATAGCAATGAGATAGGCACCAAGAAGAGGCCTCCATAAGATATTTTGAGCTTATAAAGGAGAAGAGAGCTGCTGACTATAGGCTGGGGAGGTGAGGTATCTCACAGAGTGCTTATGTCGTGGCTAGGACTTGAAGGGCGTGGGTAGGAGTCTTCCAGGTGGAGAAAGAAGATGGATTTGTAAAAACAAATGGGAAATTATGATTATGTCTCACAACTGTGCTCTGTTGGTGAAAGCATTTGGATAGAAGCTGGATGCATTTATATCAAAGAATGAATGGTAACCAGAGTTCTGATTTTTTTTTTTTTTTTTTTTTTTTTTACAACATGAGAATTTTTGCTTTTCTTTAGTACCTGTGTAACCCTGTCCAGCAGCTGTCTTGCTGGGTATGCTGTGGGTCACATGGAAAACTAGCATAGTGGGGAGAAGGAGTGTAGAGAGACACACATAGACAGAGACACAGACACAGACACAGAATGAGAGTGAATAACTAGGGTAGCCCAACACCAGCCAAGTTGAAATTCATGTCCTACACAAAGTCATATTCTATTTTCAATACACTTTCCATCTAGGTGCCCTAAATACAATATTAAAAACATGTCACTTAAAGGATCACTCCCCCCTCCCCTTAATATCTAGTAATAACAAGTTAAGTACAGTATCTTCAAAAGGATCATTGTCTTCAGAACTTAATGATTTTACTCTCATTTTTAGCTTCCTAGAAAATTTTAGGTGAAGGATATTCCTTATCTGTAGTGTCCGGTTGATAGTGACAAGGGATCCAACTCCAAGGGGCATGGTAGGGCTAGACTTAGAAAGTAGTTGCACACTTTGTAGATGAGGTATCTTTAGGTTAGCTATTTGATGTTTCAGGTTTTTTTTTTTTTTTAAACTTAACAAAATCAAATGCTTTCAAACAGGGCTCGACTCTTAATTGTAATGGAGATGATGGAAGGGGGAGAGCTATTTCACAGAATCAGCCAGCACCGGCACTTTACAGAGAAGCAAGCCAGCCAAGTAACAAAGCAGGCAAGTTAACCCCGGGTACCAATCAAACTGCCAACAGCGTTGGTTAACAAGCACAATTTCATTGGGGGGAATAAAAGAAAGCTTGAAGAAAAGCTCTATTTGATCTCTCATTGCCTGCTTTGTTATGTAATCAGAAAAGATGCTTTGACAGGAGAAATGTGACCCCTTATATGCTTTGGTGGGTGGGGGGGACTGTATTTTTAAGTGGTTGTCAATTGCTTGCCTATTATAAAACTTAAATAAACTCTGAAAGGAAGGTAATCTTTTAATTCCTGTGTAGACTGTAGATATCTTTGAGTACATAGTGTCCAAGCACTGTTGGACTTTGAGATAAATTGCTACTGATAACACCTGAAAGATTGGGATAAAAATATATTCTAGGACAACTGTATACAATTTTTTTTTTTTTCTTATGAGTCACCTCATCAGATTTTAATAGAATTCTAAGGTCTTTGTAATTCTGGGTTATTCCTGATTATAGTCTCTCTATTTTGACATCACATTTTATTGCTAGAAAAATGATTTATGTCACAAATGGTACTAGGGATCTAACTGGAAATAACCTCTTGAGGAGGTGAAAAGTTAACTGCACAAGCGTTATCTTCAGGCTAAGCAAGCAAGGCAAAAAGAAGAAATCAGAGCTCAATTTGTTCTAAATACAAAATTCTTCCAAATTTTCCATGAGCCACAAGCATTTTTCTCTCCCTCAAAGCAAGAATTCCTATTAAAGTCTGCTCACTGGGCAGGAGCCCCTTGTGGTGTTAGTGGAGGACTTGCCCTTCAGGTAGCCCATTGGCTGTGAGCCCTGGCAGTGTGCAGGAGCCTCAGGCATTTTTTTGACAACTCCTTTCTGGGAGGAAGGAGCTGATATTTGGAATGCTAAGACAATTCCATACTGAGAGTTGAAGAACAGGTAGAATTTGTTCTATTTAATTTTAACAGTTCCATCTTGTATTTTTCAAAGTTTCAAGTATTAGGATGTACTCTGAGAATCTCGTATAAAACAAAAACCCTTCCAACCCACCTAAACAGGTGACATTTTATTTCAGCAAATGAGATGAGCAAACTGGACCATCAGGTGGGAAAATACGCAGTTAGCGGCTTTCCATTTTTCTTGAAGGCAGAACCTGGAGTTGAGCCCCCGGACAGTGCAGTTCTCTCCGGAGCCAGCTGTCAGTGCCCACTGCCTCGCTGGGGGAGCCCAGGCCTGCTGAAGACTGCCCGGCACAGAGTTTACTCTGCCGTGCTGGTTGCATCTCAGAGGAGTGGAATTGGAAGCATTTCATCCTTCCCATTTCGTACAGGATTTAACCATCAGTTTACTTGGACAAAGAAGTGTTTTACTGTTTTATTTATTTACTTATTTTGTTTAATGAAATACAGGTTGCAGCTAAACTAAGCTGAATTCATTTCTATTTCTTGGTACCCAAAGTCTTACTTAATTTCTGCTGTGAAATTGAAAACCAACTACAGTCTGAATGGACTTAATTAAGGATTTTTTTTTTTTTTAATTTCCTGAGTTTGCTAAGCCAGGGGTATTAAAGAGCTATCTTTTCTAAGATATGGTTGCTCCATTATGTCCTTTTCCAGATAGCTTTGGCTCTACGGCACTGTCACTTGTTAAACATTGCTCACAGAGACCTCAAGCCTGAAAATCTGCTCTTCAAGGATAACTCGTTGGTGAGATGACTTACTTTTCTGCATTTTAGCGCTGCCACTCTCAACACCATTTGGGAATGGGTGGGTAGGTGTAGATTCAGAGTTCTCTGAATCCATGGTGAAGAGGCTTGAAGCCAAAGTGCTTCCAGCAGCTTACTTTCCCCACTTGTTTCCTTGCTGGAGGCTCAGAGACATTCTGCTATACCCCTGGCATTGATGTTGGATGGTACTGATATGCATTTGTAAGTCTTTAGGTTTTAGATATGATTTGGAGGTGCTTTGGAGAGGGGCAGGAGTCTGTAAGATGTCAGATATTACCTTGAAATGTAACAGTTGTATTTGCTGTTTGTTAATGCTGATAAGGTGTTTTTTTCTCTCCAGTCTCACCCCCTGCCCCGTGTATCATGTTCCAACAAATAAGTTGCTCTGGGAGTCTTGAAGCTGATGCTAAAAGTGAAATCGCACCCTGGATGGGAGACGATGGGCCAGTAGATAGAGTCAGGGGACAGTTGGCTAAGATCTTGATTTTAGTACTGCATATACCAGTCATGAAACAAAGCCAACTGTGGGCGGGGAGAAATTCTTTACCTCTGTGATAGTAAGAAAAATTCCTCAGTATGAATCATTTCTTCAGATGTGAGGACATGCTATTCATAGGCTTGAGAGTCAGCCAGAAACTCGTGAAAGAGAGCTCAAGGTAACCTGTCTTCCACCTGGATTTTCCGCTAGTGTTTATTGAGGATTCTGGAGAAATGACTCCCATTTATTTTATTACAGGATGCCCCAGTGAAGTTGTGTGACTTTGGATTTGCCAAAATTGACCAAGGTGACTTGATGACACCCCAATTCACCCCTTATTATGTTGCACCTCAGGTAAGCATTTGCTCTTTCTGCCACAGGATATATTACTGGGCTGTCTGTAGGCATGTTCTCTTTGACAGCACAAGCGGGCATGTATTACCAATGGGAAGGGGAGGGCTCAGTTTCAGAAACCAACAGTCTGCTTAATTAGGTGCAGGCATTTATTTTAAAATCAGCTTCTTTTAAAAACAAGGTAAAATTTGTGTACAATAAAATACTCCTACTTTAAGTGTATTTTGATGACTTTTGACAAACAGATACTCTTGCATGGTCACCACCATAATCAAGGTATGAAACATTTCCATCATGTCGGGAGCTCTTATGTATCTTTGTAGTCAGTCTGCCCCAGGTGACCACTGATCTACTTTCTGTCCTTATGGCTTAGTTTTGCCTGTTGTAGAAATTCATATGAATGGAACTCATGTACCTATCGTATTTTGTTTTTTGTTTTTAGAGATTTTATTTATTTATTCGACAGAGAGACAGAGATCACAAGTAGGCAGAGGCAGGTAGAGAGAGAGGGGAAAGCAGGCTCCGTGCTGAGCAGAGAGCCTGATGCGGGACTCAGTCCCAGGACCCTGAGATCATGACCTGAGCCGAAGGCAGAGGCTTAACCCACTGAGCCACGCAGGCGCCCTTACCTATTGTGTTTTACTTCTTTTGCTCAACATGTGTTTGAAATTCATCCACGTTGCTGCATATATCACCAGTTAGTTCTTTTTTGTTGTTAAGTAGTGTTCTATTATAGAGGACTAAACCATGTTTGTTTATCCATTCATTGACTGATGGCCATTTTGGGTTTTCTGTTTTTGGCTGTTATGAATAAAGCTGCTAGGAACATTCATTTACAAGTTTTGGGGACATCTTTTCCAAAATGGTTGTACCATTTTACCTATTCCCCAGTAATATATAAGAGTTCCAGTTTCTTCATGTTCTTACGATCAGTTCATGTTCGTTAGTATATATAATCTTAGTCCTCTGGTAAGTCCATAGTATTATTTCATTATGGATTTAATTATAACATTTTCTTAATGGTTACTGTTCTGTATTTTTTCATGTGTTTATTAGATATTCTACTGTGAAATATGGGTACAACATTTTCTACAATAACCCATGAAGTACGGATATAAATATTACATGCCCATTTTTGGTTTTATAATTGCGAGGTATAAGAAGTTATTATTTTCTAGATACAAGTTCTTTGTTGTGTTTATGTATTACTTTTTATTGCTGTTGTGATGAATTTCCACAGACTTAGTGCCTTAAGGAACACATTTATTTCCTCACGGTTTTGGAGGTTAAAAGTCTGAAATGGTTCAAGGTCTTGTCAGGACTGTGTTCTTCTGAAATATCTGGGGGGAATCCATTTTCTTGCCTTTACCAGCTTCAAGAGGCAGTTGCATTCTTTGGCTGGTGGCCTCCTTCTCCATTTCCTTACTTTCTTGGAAGATTTTATTTATTTATTTGTCAGGGAGAGAGCACAAACAGGGGGAGCGGCAGGCAGAGCGGCAAATCAAAATTGGATTTTGATCAAATCCAATTCATCCTTTTTTTTTTTTTTTTTTTTTTTTTTTTGAGAGAGAGAGAGGGAAAGAGGAGAGGATGTGAGGGAGAGGGAGAATCCCAAGTAGGCTCCGTGTCCGGTATGGAGCCTAACATAGGGCTTGATCTCACAACCCTGAAATCATGACCTGAGCTGAAAATAAGATTTGGACACTTAACTGACTGAGCCACCCAGGCACCCCTCACCCACTTTTTTTTTTTTTTTTTAAATGGTTGGTGATTTTGTTCCTAAGAGGTCTTTCCATACCCATGTACATGAAGATTTTTCTCATGGCTTCTTATTAAAGGTTATTGTTTTTGCTTTTTTAAAAAATTAGATTTATTTATTTTACTTATTTTTTTAAAGGTTTTATTTATTTATTTGACAGAGAGAGAGAGAGAGATCACAAGTAGGCCAGAGAGGCAGGCAGAGAGAGAGGGGGAAGCAGGCTCCTGCTGACAAGGAGCCTGATGTAGGGCTCGATCCCAGGACCCTGAGATCATGACCTGAGCTAAAGGCAGAGGCTTAACCCACTGAGCCACCCAGGTGCCCCTATTTATTTATTTTAGAGAGAGTGTGAGTAAGCAAGGGGAGAGGCAGAGAAGCAGACTCCCCACTGAACATGGAGCCTGAGTTAGGGCGTGATCCCATGACCCTGAGACTGTGACCTGAGCAAAATCAAGAGTTGGGTACTTAACCAACTGAGCCACCCAGGTGCCTCTCCCCTCTAACCCTTTTTTAAGTAGGGTCCATGCTGGGCACAGAGCCCAATGTAGGACTTGAACTCATGACCCTGAGCTGAGATCAGGATGCTTAACCTGCTTAACCAGTTGAGCCACCCAGGTACCCCTATAGTTTTAGCCTTTACCTTTTGGACTGTAATTCATTTGAGGGTTGTTGTGTGTGTGTGTGTGTGTGCGTGTGTGTGTGTGTGTATATAAAATAAGGGTCAAGATTTCTTTTCCTTACAGATGTCAAGTTTCCACATCATTTGTTGAAAAGAATAACCTTGTATCATTGAATTACCTTACAGTTTTGTTGAAATGAATTATCCTGAAGTTTTGTCAGAAACCAGTTGACCAGGGATCTGGGTGGCTCAGTCAGTTAAGCATCCCACTCTTGATTTTGGCTTAGGTCATGATCTCAGGGTTATGGGATTGAGCCTCAGATCAGACTCCATGTGGAGTCTGCTTGAGACTCTCTCTCCCTCTCTTTCTGCCCCTCCCCACCTCAAATAAATAAATAAATACATACATCTTTTTTTTTTTTTTAAGATTTTATTTATTTATTTGTCAGAGAGAGAGAGCATAAGCATGGGGAGTGGCAGGCAGAGGGAGATGGAGAAGCAGGTTCCATGCTGAGCAAGGAGCCTGATGTGGGACTCCATCCCAGGACCCCAGGATCATGACCTGAGCCGAAGGCAGACGGTTAACCAACTGAGCCACCCAGGCATCCCAATAAATAAAAATCTTTTTTTTTTTTTTTTTAAAGATTTTACTTATATGACACAGAGAGAGAGAGATCACAAGTAGGCAGAGAGAGGGGGAAGCAGGCTCTGTGCTGAGCAGAGAGCCTGATGCGGGGCCCGATCCAAGGACCCTGATTTCATGACCTGAGCTGAAGGCAGAGGCTTAACCCACTGAGCCACCCAGGTGCCCCCAATAAATAAAAATCTTAAAAAAAAAAATCAATTGACCATATAGGCATTAGTCTATTCTATTCTGCTTATTGGCCTGTCCTTACAGCTATATCATGTGGGATTACTGTAGCTTTCTATCAAGTCTTGACCTTAGATATCAGATAGTGTAAGAAGTCCTTCAATTTTTTTCTTTTTCAAAATTATTTTGATTATTCTGAATCCTTTGCTCTTTTCTATAAATTTTAGAATTCACTTCTCTATAATAGAAAATTTCTCCTGGGATTGTGATTTGAATTGTATTTAATCTGCTGATGAATTTGGAGAGAGTTGACGTCTTAACATTATTAAGGCTTTCAATCAGTGAACATGGTAGATCTCTCTATTAGGTCTTTAATTTTTTTCAGAAAATTTTATATTTCTTAGTGCATAGGTTTTATACATACTTTCTTAAGTTTATTCCTGTATTTCATATTATTAGATGCTGTTGGAAATTATATTTTTAACAATTTCATTTTCCAGTTGTTGATTGTTTGTAGAAGTACAAATGACTTTTGATTCCTTTTATCTTGATAAATTCACTTATCAATTATAGATATTTTTGTAGATTTGTTAAAATTTTCTATGTATATAAAGTCACGTTATCTGTGAATAATGACAGTTTTACTTTGCTCCTTCCAGTATGTTTGCCTTTTATTTCTTTTCCTTGTCTTACCTACTGGCTGGGACCACTAGCTGAATATAAGGGATTAGAGCAGACATCCTTGCCTCATTCCTGATCTTAGAAAAAAATGCTCAATCTTTTACCATTAACCATATTAACTGTTACATTTTTGTAGATACCCTTTTTCGGGCTGAGGAAGTTTCTGTCTATTTCTAGTTTACTGAAAGGGAATGTGCTAAATTCTCTCCAGTGCTTTTTCTGCATCTGTTGGGCTGATAATATATTTTTCTTCTTTATTTTGTTAATATGAATTAATTGATTTTTAAAAAGATTTTTATTTTTAAAGATTTTATTTATTTGTCAGAGAGAGAGAGAGAGAGAGCGAGCAAGCGTGAGCAGGGGGAGCAGCAGGCCGAGGGAAAAGCAGGCTCCCCACTGAGCAAGGAGCCTGATGCGGGACTCGATCCCAGGAATCATGGCCTGAGCTGAAGGCAGACACTTAACCGACTAAGCCACCCCGGTGCCCCACAATTTATCAATTTTTAAAAATATTTTATGGACTCAGCTATTGGTTTCCTATGTAAAAAATCTTTGTCTCACCCAAGATCACCAAGATTTCCTCCTACAAATTTTATAGTTTTAGGTTTTACATGTATATGCATGATCCATTTTTAATTTTTTTAAAAGATTTTATTTATTTATTTGACACAGAGACAGAGAGATCACAAGTAGGCAGAAAGGCAGGCAGAGAGAGAGGAGGAAGCAGGCCCCCCGCTGAGCACAGAGCCCAATGCGGGGCTCTATCCCAGGACACTGGGTTCATGACCCGAGCCAAAGGCAGAGGCCTAACCCACTGAGCCACCCAGGCACCCTGCTGATTTAATTTTTATATAATATATGAGTATGGATCTAAGTTCTTTTTTTTAGCATTCGGATATCCAGTTCCAGTACCGTTTGTTGAAAAGGCTGTCTTTTCTCCATTGCATTGCTTTTGAGTCTTGTCAAAGATCAATTGAATGTGTGTTAATTTTGGATTTTCTGTTCTGTTCTAGTGATCTCTTTGTCTGTCTTTACACCAGTACTGTACTGTCTTAATTACTGTGACTTTATAATAACTATTGAGATAAGGTAGAGTTAGCCCTTTAACTTAGTTCTTTTTCATAGTTGTTTTGGCTATTTTAATTTCTTTGCATTTCCATATAGACTTTTATTTTTAAGATTTTAATTATTAGAGAGAGAGACAGAAATAGTGACAGAGAACGCAGGTGGGGAGGAGAGGGAGAAGCAGGCTTCGTGCTGAGCAGGAAGCCCGATGTGGGGCTCAATCCCAGGACCCTGAGATCATGACCTTAGCTGAAGGCAGATGCTTAACCAACTGAGCCGCTCAGGCTCCCCCTTATAAACTTTATAATCAGCAGTTAATTTCTATAAAGGAGTCTGTTGGGATTTTGACTGGGGTCGTTTTAGAGGTATGGTTCAATATGGGGACACTGACATCTAGACAATACTGAGCCTTCTAGCCCATGAGCAAGCTGTATTTCTCCATTCATTTTTGCCTGTAGTTTTTCTCAGCAATATTTGTGTGGTTTTCAGTGTACAGGTGTTTCCCATCTTTGTTAGATTTATTCTATGGTCCTATTATAAATGGTATTTTCTTTTTCAGGTTTAATTAATTCACTTTACTCTTCTTGTATAAAAACACTATGTGGTGGCCATAGCTGGAGCCTGGGTCCTCCGCATGGAGACTCTGATGTGGGTCTTTACAAGATGGTCAGTGAATTCCTGACAGGGAGACTTGGTGAACACAGTCTCTTTCCAGAGTGTTGGGGTAAGGCAGCTGTAGGTCTTGGAGATGGCAAAGTTGCCCCAGCTGACATTGCAGCCCCTGGCTGAGGTGTGGCAGTTGTCAACATCTGCCATCAGCAGCTTTGTGGGCATGGGGCAAGACCATAGCATGGGTCTGGGCGCGAGGAGGAAGCGGACCTGTGCAGAGTTGCAGCGTCCTTGCAGTTGCAAGGAATCTGTGGGGTACACCAGTATTGTTCCCCCAGGGTTCCCAGTCAGAGGACAGTGGAGAACTTGGCCAGGATCATGGCCCCATGAATGGCAGTGGTCACCTCCTTGAACACATAATACACAGAACAATGTGACTGTTATAGTCCTTGATGGCAACAAGTACCTTGAACCTGATCCACTGGCCAGCACTGGTCTGCTTTTATACAGGCGTAAGGGATGTCTGTATCTCTAGGAAAAAGTCCATGACCTTGGATGCCTTGATGGGCGGGAAGAAAAGTTAAATCTCTTCCAAGGACTTGATCTTCATGTCCTTGACCTGGGCAAAAACTGATAAATTGTTGGTTTTAAGAGGTTTTTGAAAATTTGTATTTTCTGGAGGGTCTTTTTTTTTTTTTTTTTTTTTAGTTGCCAGTGTCTTCTCTCTTTCAGCATTCTTTTTCAACATTATTTCTCAAGTTATAGGTCATTGGCGAGGTCTTCAGTAAATTGTTCCCTTTGGTCTGACTCTGACAGGTACTGGAGGCACAGAGAAGGCACCAGAAGGAGAAATCTGGCATCATACCTACCTCGCCAACGCCCTACACTTACAACAAGGTAAGGGAAGAGATACTTTCCTGCGCCCTTCAGGTATAGCCCCTCTTCTCCTGTGAAGTGTTTGTGGTTCTCTGAGAATGAATTCTTTTTTTTTTTTTTTTTAAATTTAAATATTTTATTTATTTATTTGACAGAGATACAGAGATCACAAGTAGGCAGAGAGGTCCACAGAGAGAGAGAGGGGGAAACAGACTCCCTGCTGAGCAGAGAGCCCGATGTGGGGCTCGATCCCAGGACCCCGAGATCATGACCCGAGCCGAAGGCAGAGGCCCAACCCACTGAGCCACCCAGGCACCCCAATTCCTTGGGATTCTAAGGGAATTCTTATCCCTTAATATTCTTGCCCAAAGGGCCGACAGCAGCCATCCATTCAGAAAATTCCTTGGAATTCAGGTTTTTTGTCTGATGAAGTAGGAAATAATGTTCTTAACAGTTGAGGTTTTGCAGCAGGAACCAAGGGCAATGATCACCAGTAGGTTATCTGGATAGTTGTAGTCCACTGACCACATCTAAAAGACATGGTTATCTTTTTTTTTTTTTTTTTTTTGAGGTGGAGACCATTTCTGAGAACATTCCATGGCCATTTATGGTACCATTCTTCCCATAAAATACCCAACTTAGAACAGTGTCTACAGCACCAGCAAATGTTCCTGGTCCTATAGTTCTCAGTCTGTAGCCTATACATCAAGTATCTCTGTTCTAAAACATAAGAGGATTAGGGCCTCTTAAAAGCAGGTCCTGGAGTCGCTGAGTAGATGCTTCTTGGGGACTCATGGCTGATACAGGTGACAGAGAGGGACTTGAGGGTGGTAAAAAGCAGTAGGTCAGCTCTTCTTGGGTCCCACACTTAGAGGGCCCTACATATTCCTATAGTGTGTGCATACATATACACACAAGCATACATAAGAAAGAACACACAGGCTCCTCTGCCACTCAGGGCCCTATGCTCCACCTGTCACTGGGACAGTGTGACCAAAAACCCTAAACTTCTGCTTTCATCAGTAACTCTGGTCAGTTCCGAAGAATTCACTGCTCCACACCTTCTTGCCCTACAAACCCAAAACCATAGTCAGCTCTACCCTTAAGCAGTGAAGGTTTGAGGGCTGTGCTGATTACAGCATCAGAGTCAGAAACTGCTTCCTGCTTCTTGATGCATGCAGGAAGTGAGTGGTAGAAGCACTTAGATGACATTTAATTTACTTGCTAAAATTTGCTCAGCATGCATGCAGTGGATTCTTGTGTTATATATTATTTTCCAGTGGTATTTTTGTCTTCTTTTCCTGTTCCATTTTGTGAGCCTAATGGTGCTCATGAATTAGCATGGCGTTCATAAAAATTACACACTGCAGATGAGTAGCATGTTGGAATAATAAACAGCTCATATTACTTTCGAATGTGTATATGTGTTAGTTAAGAGATAGTTGTCTTTATATTGGCAACTAAATGAAAACTGAATGCTACATTTGCAAATAATTTTTTAACAAATATGTAATCGGATGTAATTAAATTTTTAGAAATTAAATAACTCTAGCAATCTTAATTTTAAAAAAAGTATTATCAGTTTCTTCATGTGGAAAGTGAGGGATTTGAACTATTTTTTTAAAGATTTTATTTATTTATTAGAGAGCGAGCGAGCACAAGTAAGTAGAGCGACAGGCAGAGGGAGAGGGAGAAGCAGGCTCCCCACTGAGCAAGAAGCCTGATGTGGGGCTCAATCCCAGGACTCTGGGCTCATAACCAGAACCAAAGACAGATTCTTAATTCACTGAGCCACCCAGTTGCCCCAGTTTGAACTATTTTTAAGATTCCTTTCACCTCTATAATTTTTTAAGATTTCATTTATTTACTTGAGAGAGAGCATGAGCAGGGTGAGGGCTCAGAGGGATAAGCAGACTCCCTGCTGAGCAGGACCCTGGGATCATGACCTGAACCGAAGGCAGACACTTAACCAGCTGAGCTACCCAGGCACCTCACCTCTATGATTTTGTAATTATGTTCTGTAGCATGGGTTGCATCATCTACAAATATCCATTAGTATTAGGCAAAAACATGGGTTAGAGTATCTATGGTAGAGAGAAAGGTTGGTTCCCTTAAGACTTGAAACTTTTCTATTCTTTGTTAATTGATTTTTGGAGATAGCAGCCTGTATAAGGGGCTGTTTCTGGGCTGGTCCTTTATTTTGGGGCCGTGCCTCTGCTGTAAGTGACTATTTTAATTTTCTTTTCAGAGCTGTGACTTGTGGTCCCTAGGGGTGATTATCTATGTGATGTTGTGCGGATACCCTCCTTTTTACTCCAAACACCACAGCCGGACTATCCCAAAGGATATGCGGAGAAAGATCATGACAGGCAGTTTTGAGTTCCCAGAAGAAGAGTGGAGCCAGATTTCAGAGATGGCCAAAGATGTTGTGAGGAAGTGAGTACCCAGGCTGTGGGGCAGGGAGGCCAAGGAGGCCTCAAAGTGGTGGATCACAAGGGAAAAGTCATTGGTTTCCCAAGCATGCTCCTTCCCCTTGGTGCATCATAGAAATCTTATCCCTGGAGCCTAAGATGAGAGCTCTTCATGTCCACACCTTGGTGAAAATGGGAGCTTTGCTCCCTCTTGTTGCATTCTTAGAATTCGTCCCCAGGCTGTGAATCCAGATCCCTTGGAGCATTAATTTAGGATCTTAAATGGTAAGCCCCACGGTGTGCCCTTCCTGAATGTTGGCCAGTCATGTGGAACAGACATGGTGTCAGGAACTGAACTCAGGCTAAGATGACAATGACATTTTGTCTTTTCATTCCTTAGCTGCTGTGGGGAGGAGGTGGCTGATTGTGTGGGCCTCTAGCCTCCCCACTGCTAAGATAAATTTAGAAGATTCAGTGTTAGTGAGTGGTTAAGGGAGAGTTGACAGAGTACTTTTGTAGTTGAAGGACTAGGTAAGAAATAAGACCTAAATTTGATGTATATTTTCTTTTCCTGCCCACCTGTGTGGGAGGCTCAGCTGCCTGGGATTTGGTATTCTTCTTGTATTCCTACTGCTTGGTGTTCACTGAGTAATTTTTCCTCTTTTTTGGTTTCAGTTTCTTCATTTGTAATACGATGAAGAAAAGCATTAAAGGGGGAGTGCCTGGGAGGTTTCTCCTGACAGTATAACCATTTCTCTATGGAGATTACTCCCTTTCAATAGAGAGCTTGTCCTATTGGTTGAAAATCTATGTATATAAAGACAGACTAGTTTCTAAAATATACAAGGAAAAGTTTTTAGGACGGTGGAGCAATGTTTAAAGCATCACTTGTCTTCCCATGCAGTTTCCACACTGTATTCTCAGCTACTTAACCAAAACATCAATATCCTCTAAGTGGTTCTTTGTCAGTTCTATAGAATATATTTCCTGTCCGTAGAGCAGTATTATCTTCTTTCAGCTTTGGGATTCTTTTCTAAATAATCGTTTCTTCAGAATCTGAAGCTGTTTGTTCAGAATGATCTAGAAGGTTGGAGAGAACCTGAAAGAGCAAGTATGCATGTTGTCCTGACTGACATTTACAATGTGAGGATGTGTAGTTGGAAGGAGGGGCTAAAAAGCCCAGGGAACATGCTCAGGTGGGCCAAGAATTGCATCAGCATGAATGGACAAGATGTGAAGAAGTAGGATCAAAAAGCAGATGGTACAGAGCAATACATTCAGCTTAGAAGGAAATGCCATCCTCTTATCAGAGACTTTAGATTTTTGGCTTTTGAATATTTCTGGAATAAAGTGTTCACGTCCTGCCATATGGTGACATCTAACAGTTTTATCACAAGTAGCAACCTGGACTTTCACAACCACATGACCCTTCAACTAATTTTTTTTTTTTAAGATTTTATTTATTTATTTGACAGAGATCACAAGTAGGCAGAGGCAGACAGAGAGAGAGAGAGAGGGGGAAGCAGGCTTTCCACGGAGCAGAGAGCCCGATGTGGGGCTCAATCCCAGGACGCTGGGATCATGACCTGAGCCAAAGGCAGAGGCTTTAAGCCACTGAGCCACCCAGGCACCCCACCCCTCAACTAATTTTGTAGCCACTGTTAGCCAAAAGAGCACTTTGAGTCCCTTTAGGAAACTGTAACCCACTGTCCTAAAAACATAGATGTGGGAGATTCAAGTCTCAGGAACTATAAGCTGTATGTAGGCTTATTAAACTTAGAACTCAGTCTGCAGTATCACTGGATTAAGCCTTATCTTACAATTTTTATCTCACTCTGCCTAGTGTAGAAAGGACTTACCAAAGGACACAGTGCCTTCACCACTAGGGGTCAGGTACTAGATCCCCACCCCTGCCAACAGATGGAAAGCCTAGGCTTGTAGGAGTTGGTAGAAAGGCAGAAGTTGGAGCTGGTTAGAACCAGGCCCAGGAACTTCCTAGCCTTCTGAAAGCAACTCTGTTGGCCTTTTCTCCACAGGCTCTTGAAGGTCAAACCAGAGGAAAGACTCACCATTGAGGGAGTATTGGACCACCCGTGGCTCAACTCGACGGAGGCCTTGGATAATGTGCTACCGTCTGCTCAGCTGATGATGGATAAGGTTTCAAATGTGCTTACTTTGTTCACCAAAAAAGGCTGTGTTGAGAAAGAATGCTGGGACAAGGCTCAGGGAGGGGTCAAAGGCAGAGCAATGCAGAGAACTCAGTCTTTCCCAGAGAGACATCCCTGCTTTCCTGAAAATCAGGATCTGAAATAAAAGCTTCTTTGCATAAAAGACCAGATCAAGGCCCGGTAAATATACACTAAGTGAAAACTCAAATCCTCCATATTTGTGCTTTGGGGTTGGAGGGGCCACAGAGTACTATGAGACAACTTCCTTTCCCCTAAGGGACTTAAACAAGACTGGAAAGACCAATTTATGTGAAATAAGGAGGGAACATTTCAGATATCAGAGGTTTGCATGCTACATTTTCTACAAATGCTCTGGGAATTCAGAAAAAGAGAACATCTTTGAAGGGCTGTAATTAGGGAAGGGTTCCTAAAGAGAAGGCAAAACCCCTCATATTTATTAATTACTGCATGGCAGGTTTTTTTTTTTTTTTTAATTTTATTTATTTATTTGACAGAGATCACAAGTCGGCAGAGAGGCAGGCAGAGAGAGGGGGGGAAGCAGGCTTCCCGCTGAGCAGAGAGCCCGATGCGGGACTCGATCCCAGGACCCTGGGATCATGACTGGAGCCGAAGGCAGAGGCCTTAACCCACTGAGCCACCCAGGCGCCCCTGCGTGGCAGTTTTTAACCTATTCACATTAGTTTAGGCATGAGCTGCCTTTAAAAATTTGAGTAGACAACATACATGGCCAAATGAGCCACAGTGAGCTCCGACAGGAGCAAACAAGTACAGACCGAAGTGCATCTGTGGGGAAAACCACCTGGCTTCATTAATGGGAAGTCAGTGAAATATATGTGGCAGGGCCAGGCTTTGAAAGTACACAGAGGGACTTAAGTCTTAGTAGCACATAACTGAGAGGCCACTGTCAGTTTTGGGAAAGAGATTTGCCACGGGGAAGGTATTTAGGGATGGTCAGCCAGACTTGCAGACTTGCCAACCCAAGACTTCTGCAGCAGTCGGCAAGCCTGGGACAGCTGTGGGAGCAGAGAAGTAGAGACAAGGGAATAGGCTCAGTATTTTTGAAGACAAATTTCTACAATTTGGGGTGACTTACTAGATAATAAGGGGATAATGGGTATCATATCTAGTGATCTCATTGACAAATAGAGGGAAATCAGGATCGAGGCTCGTTTAGGTTAAGGGAAATCTCTTAGGTTTTATTTATTTATTAAAGATTTTATTTATTTATATGGCAGAGTTCACAAGTAGGCAGAGAGAGAGGAGGAAGCAGGCTCTCTGCCAGATGTGGAGCTCGATCCCAAGACCCTGGGATCATGACCTGAGCCAAAGGCAGAGGCTTTACCCACTGAGCCACCCAGGCGCCCCGTTTAGGTTTTAGATATTGCTTAGATGGACACGCAGATGAATGACATGTGTTGTGTGGGACCTTAGTGTGGTTGAGAGGTAAAGGCAGAGAAACAGGCATACGTCTTACCCACTTAGAAGGGAGGGGGACTGAAGTGTGAGAAAGAGTAAGGGGATAGGAAAAAAGAATTATTTTTTTCCTAAAGATTTTATTTATTTATTTGAGAGAAAGAGCAGGAGCCAAGGGGCAGGGAGGGACAGAGGGAGAGGGAGAAGGACAAGTAGACTCCCCACTGAGTGGGGAGCCCGCCATGGGGCTCAATCCTAGGACCCTAAGATTGTGATCTAACGAAAGTCAGACGCTTAACCAACTAAGCCACCCAGACGCCCAGGAAAAAAGAATCCTAAGACCTCCCTTAGTTTTGCTGTAGTATGGGAAAGAACTGGAAAGAGCAGAGTTCTGTGCCATCTCTGATTTGTGTATGGTTGTCTTTCTGGTTTAAATATGCCTAGTAGGGTGCCTGGGTGGCTTGGTGGGTTAAGCCTATGCCTTCAGCTCAGGTCATGATCTCAGGGTCCTGGGATCGAGCGTCGGGCTGTCTGCTCAGCAGGGAGCCTGCTTCCCCCCCTCTCTCTGCATGCCTCTCTGCCTACTTGTGATCTCTGTCTATCAAATAAATAAATAAAATAAATAAAAAATAAGTAAGGTAAGTAAGTAAGTAAGTAAGTAAATAAATAAATAAATAAGCCTAGTAGCCCATAATTGGTATTAGCACGTGGGGCTTACAGTGTGGCTTTCCTCAAATTCTTGAAATTGAAGAAATAAGATTGCTTTTTGGAGTTACTGTAGAATTAGTATATAATGAAGCCAAATGTGGATGTGCAGAATCTTTTAAGAGTGGCCCCTAGGCCTATAAGGTGGAACTGTAAGGTGACAGTATATTCCCATTTGTAAAGGAATTAGGGGGTCATGATGTGAGTTGAAGTGTAGAAAACTAAATGTGAAGTGTAGAAAAATGGCCACGTATGCAGATGTTAAATAGTGTCCATCTAAGCCTGCCTGGGAGGTGGAGCCTGAGCTCACAAACCTGAGCTATTCTCATCTCTCCGTTTGGGCCATCACTGATAAGGGTGTTGTGAGGATCCAGTAGAGTATAGCCAGAGCCAGCTATTATAGTTCCTTTAAATGAGTTCAAATTCTGCCTGCTCTAATTGCATGCTTAAGAGGGAACTAACTACTTAAAATTGTCAAATTTTATTGTTGAAATTAAAGTAATACAGAGGTATATCTTTTTAAAAAGCATAAATTCCTTTTCATCCCTCTGCCTCAATCTCATCCCTCAGAGATGAGGTCATCTCTGGCTTAGTGTATCCTTCCTCATCTTTTTCTGGGGAGACACACATCTACTCAGTTTGTCCTTTTTTTAAGTATAAACATGGAATCATCTTGTTCTTAGAAAGCTTTCTGCTGATTATTTACCTTCCTTAATTGGTATGCCCATAGTAAGAGCCCGAACTGGTCATAAGGACACAGGCTTCAAAAGTTCTAGACTCCATGACAGTTATTTCTCATTGTAAAGTAATTGACTGACTTGTAGATGAGTTCCTGAGGATCTACTTGCTTATCATATGAAGCGGTTAGGGTTCTGAGCCATCGGGGCTGAAGTGACTGTCCACACTGTGGGGGCAGTGAGTAAATGCCACTGTGGGAGGCTTCTTGGGCACAGCTTACCACCGTTTCCCTGATGCGCATGAATGCCTCTCTTTACACTTGCTCTTGCCAATGACTGTGAACACGAGTCTGTTACTATTTCTTAACTTGCATTAATATCCCTGTGGCGGGAGGAAGGGCTAGCTGTTGTATGGCCCTTGGTTTGCCTGGTATTCCCTGGGCTTGCTAGTCCATGGGTCAGAATGCTCTGGCTTATCAAAATGTGTATACTGGGGCGCCTGGGTGGCTCAGTGGTTAAAGCCTCTGCCTTCGGCTCGGGTCGTGGTCTCAGGGTCCTGGGATCGAGCCCCACATCAGGCTCTCTGCTCGGCGGGGAGCCTGCTTCCTCCCTCTCTCTCTGCCTGCCTCTCTGCCTACTTGTGATCTCTGTCTGTCGAATAAATAAATGGAATCTTTAAAAAACAAAAAAACAAAATGTGTATACTGCCAGCATAACAGTGAAATTGCCTTTTTAGTTCTCGGAGCTTCTCCTTCACAGTTTCTTAGATTAGCTTTTTAAGTGCCCTGAAGTGAGCGTGAAAACTGATGATAGTGTTTACATTCAGGCGGTGGTTGCAGGAATCCAGCAGGCTCACGCGGAACAGTTGGCCAACATGAGAATCCAGGATCTGAAAGTCAGCCTCAAACCCCTTCACTCTGTGAACAACCCCATTCTGAGGAAGAGGAAATTACTCGGGTATCTGATTATTTCGTGAATTCTCCTTCATGGCTGGTGTGACTGAGTGCAGGGTTCTGGAAGGTCCGCCAGGGGTTTGCCCTTTTGCTACCTCTTATGAGGGTGGGAAGGATAAGCCCTTTAAATAGCATCAGAAGTTGGAGACACTCTATAGTTAATTATTTATCCAAAAAATGTGCGGCCTTCTGTTTAGAGTTAACCAAACCTAGAGAGCTGGTTTTTGATGTTTCACCTTGTTATTCCCTCTCTTCCAAACTTTTAAAGCACCAAGCCAAAGGATGGTGTTTATATCCACGACCGTGAGAATGGAGCCGAGGATTCAAACGTTGCCTTGGAAAAGCTCCGAGACGTGATTGCCCAGTGTATTCTCCCCCAGGCTGGTAAAGGTCACGCCATTTATGAATGTTCCGCGTACGTGGGTGCACATGCTAGAAGGAGCAGTTTAATTTGAGGTTGTCTTCCTTATCTTTGTGTTCTAAGAGAATAAGTACATTATATAAATTATTCCATGTCCACTAAAAAGAGACGGCAGTGGGAACTTAGAAAGGTGGTAAGTTCTGCCCCTCCTTTGGGTTTTCTGTGAAACTGCTAGTTGAGGTTTAATTATCAGTGTCTGGTGCAGCATGCAGTTTTGTTTTCTTGGTTTGTTAATGAGGGCACAGGACAGAAGATGAAGAACAGAAAGTGTGGGCAGGGTCTGGATCAGCTTGTGAAGGTCAGGAAACATTTCTAGAGCCTTTAGAGTGCTAGGCTGTCATTAACTCGTGAATATAAAGAGAGTACCTCCCAGAAGTTCAGAAGTGCCCCTTGCTGCTCCATGTATCATGGCCAGACTATGACTTGTACATGTCTCCTTTTGAGCGAGAGCTTTCTTTTAGTGTAGTTTCTCCATTCAGTGGGGTATAATGGGCTCTTCTTGGCAGATGAATGAGATGCTTCAAGTAGGCAACCAGAAAACTATCTAAATTCCTTGGGTTTTCAGAGAATTCACATAGTGTACTTAGATAGCTTCCAAAGTAAGAAAAGAGCTTAGGAGAAAGAAGTTGGTCCACTCAGCCTTGTTCTCCCTTCTTCTCCTGGTTTCTTAGATTAACCATGTGTTTTTGCTCAGCAGCAGAGTCTGATTCTGCCTACTCCCCATACCCTAGTGCTAAGACCCTGGGGACATCAGAAGATTTGTGTGAGACTGTCAGAGTAGAAGAATGCAAAGCCCAGAAGTGGCCTACGTGTAATGTAGGGGCAGGTAGTAACAACAGTGTCAAAAGTTTGCGCCTTTACTCATCACTTCTCAAGTTGGAGATTGTGTCCTTCCATCTCTGACACTTAAAGTCCCATGATGCCACTGGAAAACACAACTACTTCTTCATCTTTCTCAATAGGAGAGAATGAAGACGAAAAGTTGAATGAAGTAATGCAGGAGGCTTGGAAGTATAACCGGGAATGCAAACTTTTAAGAGATACTCTGCAAAGCTTCAGCTGGAATGGTAGGAAAATCCTTCTTCCTTTCTTCATTGATGCAGAGAAGTGACTATGTGTAGAACATCAAGGATCTTTGGGGGCTAAGCTGGGGCTGTTTTGAGGTGAAGTGAGGCTAGAGAGTGATAGGGGTATTGTGGGATGGGGGTTAGTCCTACATTAACTGCATAGGCATATCTAGATGTCTGGCCCTTTCACTTGTTTTACAGAATTCAGATAAACAGTGTGCTAGAGATTCAACCCTGCAGAGCCCCTGTCGTACACCACATTGGTACCTTATTGGGTCCCTGTCAAGAATCTCAGCTCCACACATGTGGAGACTGACTTTTTTCTTTTTTACATTTCAGGTCGTGGATTCACAGATAAAGTAGATCGACTAAAACTGGCAGAAATTGTGAAGCAAGTGATAGAGGAGCAAACCATGTCCCACGAATCCCAATAATGACAGCTTCAGACTTTGTTTTTTTAACAATTTGAAAAATTCTTCTTTAATGTATAAAGTAATTTTTATGTAAATTAATAAATCGTAATTTCATTTCCACATTATCTAAAGACGCTGTATAAATTTAGATACAGGACTTATTCGTAGTATAGTTCATTTGTTTGTTTTTAAGAAAAGTTCAGTTCCTAGAGATATACTCTTACTCTAGGACTGCTTCTCATATGTTTGTAAGATGACAGGCGATATCGTCAAACAAGATTATTTTATTTGTAATAAAGTGTACAAAAACCATTTGCCGGTGGTAGACAAAGGACTGACTATACTGACCTGTCTCTTTAGTAAACAGCTGAATCAAAGTACTGTGGAATCTGGTTTCACTTGCCCTGTGTATTTGTTTTCTGCACTATTGGTAGATTACCTCTGGTGCCAAAAAATTTTTGTGGATTCATACTGTAGACGGCCTGCTGGAACCCACAGGATACCAACTCCCGTGACGGAAGAGGCAGGAAGCAGAGTCCTCATTTTTCTTGTCCCTAATTATTTAAAGAAAAGTCGTAACATTTCTTTTTTATTATATCTTTCAAAAGGTATCGGTGTACTTCTTAAATCTTAACGGGATTTTGAGTTTATTCTTTTCACGCAGAACCAGAGCTTCCTTCTGTTCATCTGAGATCCCGCTCAGTCGTCTCCCCTTCCTCACGGGCCTCGCCGAGCTCTGTTGCTTTTTCTTCCTTTTCTCTGTGCTCTTGGCTCTTTTTATTGGAAGATTTTTCTGAGAAAGTTACATACCGTGTAAGCTGAACTATTGGGTTAGCACCTAAGAAGAGAAAAAAACATGATTCTGCCTACTCCCCATACCCCAGTGCTAAGACCAGGTTTTTTCTCTCAAATGTGCCATTTTACTGTCGAATGCTTTGGCCTGTGCTTCACGTGGCCATGCCCGGGCTGTATTTATTTGTTCCATACTGTCAGTTTCAGGAAGGGGAATTCTGGCTCCGAGATCAGCTGTTTGAACAGAAAGCAAGGCCGGATGCTTTTATTGTTTTCTGTTGTGCTCATGGGCTTCCATAAACCCTTTTTATTTGTTTGTTTGTTTATTGTAGCAGTTTTTGGTGGGTGCCTGTGTTGGTAAATAGAAGGTCTAGCAGGCAAATTGCATTTTAGGGCAGAGGAAGACGATCTGTAGGCAAGTTCTTCGCTTTCATCCCATCACATTCTCTTCGACCAAAATTGATCTCACAGAGCTCACTTACTTTTGCAACTCTTCCACTTGGCTGAGTATTTCTTCAGGATGAGATTTGGTTCGTTTGTCCCATATGTATGTGGCTGACCGGAAATGTAGGATAAAAAACACAAAGTATTTTGTAAGAATTACCTTATTACATTGGTTAATGTAATAAGGTAAGTCTCCCTAATCTTAGGTGATGAATAACTGTTGTGAATGGATACCATGTAAGGAGAATTCAGTATTTTTTTTTTTACGATTTTATTTATTTATTTGAGGGTGGTGGGGAGCATGAGCAGGGGGAGGGGCAGAGGGAGAAGCAGACTCCCCGCTGAGTAGGGAGCCTGGAATCATGACCTGAGTGAAGGCAGATGCTTAACCAACTGAGCTACCCAGGCGCCCTGAGAATTCAATACTTTTAAACATGGCAAAATCTAAGAGTGAGGCAGCAGAGGAAAACAAAAGGTTTTATTTACTGACTTGAAGACTTAGCTGAGAGTTGAATTAAGTGCTGAATCAAATTATTGTTTTTTAATGAAATGCAGTCTTACAAATCACTGCAGTCAGGAAAACTCTGTACTTGTTTCTAGAACAACTGAATGTTCACTTGTTTTTCTCAGGGTAGAGGTATTGGCTGGAGAGAGGAAGGCCATAGTTAGCTTTGTTACTCTTTAGAGGAAACTTCTGGTATGCCCTATCTACCATTCCCTTCTCAATTTTTTACTTGGGTGGCTTCCAAAGGCTCAGGATAACTTTTTTCCATTAGGGTGTGGTGAATTTTAAGCATGAGCTGGGACATCCAAAATAGTGCTTCTTTTTACTCAGAGAGCAGCAGTTGCCCATGTCTTAGTCTTAACAGGCTGAATTAATCTGGCCCCCAAAATAAATGCTATGTCCAAACATGTCCACACGAGAGTACCATGCTGGAAGTTTATGAATGCCCTGGAGGATGATCCAGTTGTTGTAATATAAAAGTGGATCCTACTTGGGACTCTTGACAAAACAGTAGTCCCCAAAGGACTCTGCACTGTTCGATCTTCCAAGTGGAGTTTTATTTGTGGAGTTTGTAGGCTAGTAGCAAATCCTGCTTTATGTCAGGTTGACTAATAAGGCAAATTTCACATGTAACTGGTAGTGAAACAGAATTGTCCTCATCTCTTCCAGCCTCTAAATGCTTATACCTGCAGGGCGCCTGGGTGGCTCAGTCAGTTAAGCGTCTGCCTCCAGGTCATGATCCTAGGGTCCTAGGATCGATCCCTGCATTGGCTCCCTGCTCAGCAGGAAGCCTGCTTCTCCCTCTTCCACTCCCCCTGCTTGTGTTCCCTCTCTCTCTGTCTCTCTCTGTGTCAAATAAATAATAAAATCTTTAAATGCTCATACCTGTAGGAAGTCATATTGTAAGAACAACTTTTGTAGGCAGGAGGTTAGCATATTCAAGTTTTCCCACATGATTTGCTAACCCTCTGTTTAACTAAAACCATTATTTATCACTCAGATGCCTATGGACTTCACCATAGTTATAGATCTGCTTGATGTAAAACAGTTTGTATATCTTTCTGGTTAATATATTGTATGAGCATAGGAGAATACCTTTCAGAAATTTATTTTTTGAAACATAAGAGGATAGCTTTTTAGCTTTTAAACTTTTTTTTTTTTCCTTTAAGATTTATTTATTTGAGGGGCGCCTGGGTGGCTCAGTGGGTTGGGGCCTCTGCCTTCGGCTCGGGTCGTGGTCTCGAGGTCCTGGGATCGAGCCCCACGTCGGGCTCTTGCTTGGCAGGGAGCCTGCTTCCTCCTCTCTCTGCCTGCCTCTCTGCCTATTTGTGATCTGTCTGTCAAATAAATAAATAAATAAAAAGTCTTTTAAAAAAAGATTTATTTATTTGAGAGGGAAAGAGAGTGCAGGCAGGGGGAGGAACAGAGGGAGAAGGACAACTAGATTCCAAGAGCTAGATCTCATGACCCTGAGATCACGACCTGAGCAGAAATCAAGAGTTAGATGCTTAACCAACTGAGTCAGCCAGGCGCCCTGCTTTTTAGCTCTTCAAAGCTAAAAATGGATATAGTTTTTAGGGGCGTCTGGCTGGCTCATTTGGTGGAGCCTGCGACTCTTGATCTCAGGGTTATGAGTTTGAACCCCACAATAGGCATAGAGCTTACATAAGAAATAAAAAGAAAATTAAAAAGATAGCTTTTTAAAAAAGAGCTTGTTGTATTAATGTGAGAAAGAACAAATTGAAGGAATTAGTGGTTAAAGAATGCAAGTGATCTAAGATCTTGTGTGTGAATGCTTATGTGCAGTGTATTTTTTGAAGAAAATGTGTTTCAATTTGAGAATCGGAAAATTGGATATGCTTAGTTACAATTTTTATTTTAAAAATAGAAGTGTTCTTTCATTATTGATTTGATTATTTTATCCTACAAAATGACTTTACCTAATTTGCCCTGCCTGTTTGTGGTTCAAATAAGGGAAATACCTTAAGTCTGATCATTTCCAAATTATATAATTTTGAGAGGCTTTCTCCTCTTACATAAAATGAAAGAAGAAATCCAGCTAGAAATCATTTTACCTTTTTGCTATAAATTTTTTAGTGGATTTGTGATATAACAGTGCAAGTTCTATTGCCAGATCCTAATGATAAATTTCAAAATCTGTATTAGGAATTAAATATTATTGAGTTGATCTGCTCTCCTGCTCATATCTGAGATCTTATGGTATTGAACCATTCCTTTTTCTTAAATTTGATAGAGCAAGCATGAGTGGGGGGAGGGCCAGAAGCAGAAGGAGAGAGAGAATCTCAAGCAGTCTCCTCGCTGAGCAGAGCCTGATGCAGGGCTCCATCTCATGACCCTGAGAGGAGTCCGGATGCTCAACGGACTGAGCCATGCAGGTGACCCTGTACCATTCCTTTTTGAATTGGGGCATATCCCCATTTTTTAGTGCTACTTGTAGTCACAACCTTTATTTTAAAGGTTTTATATTGTAAATATTTGACTTGATATAAAATTATTTTTATGCAGGGTAACAGATATTACAGCCTTATTTTAGTTTATCAGAGAATGTACTGGAGAATAACTGCAAGAAAAGTAAATAGATAGGGCTTCCCCCCGCCTTTTAAAATTACTGCTAAATACACTAGAAAATTGACACAAAACCAAATCCAAGGACTTATATAGACATTATGGTTCAATTTTAGTTATAAGAGTGAAAAAATATTTAAAAAATTATTATACAGTCCATTTTTTATTTTCTTGATGAAATGGTAACTGGATATCTAATCAGAGTTTGTTTTTATGTTGGGGCAGTTAGGAGGAATTGAATGTTGATCCTAGTCACTTGTATACTTCCATGGTAAAACTAGCTTTAGTTCATTTATTGCTTATGTGTATTAGGAAAACTTACTGTAGGGAAGAATTATGTTTACATACAGATACAAAAAGTTTAAACTCATGTCTTATGAACATAGGCTGATGAAGGAGGGTTGGGATGAGAAACGATATCCTGATAACTACAGAAATGAGGAAAGGAAGCAGTGGGTACAGAGAACTTTGTCCTACTCAGAGATCCCCAAAGAATCCCCGTCCCCTCCCCCTACCTCCTGCCAGAATGTTGGGTTTCAAAGAATGAGCAGATTAACGGATATCAGGAGTAGTGTGGCCTGGGCTGAGAATAAGGATAACTTAGGCAAATTACGATTTAATAGTACTGTCTGAATCATTACAGTCTGCCTACATGGCATATCTGTGAAGGTAAAGGGAACAAACTCAAGGAACATTAGAGCTTCAGCTGTTGGAAGGAAGTCTTATGGTAAGGGAACTACCAAAGGCCAAGACCAAATAGAAATTCAGCCCCAAAGTCTCAGCAGCCACCCCTTAGTGAGCCAGCCTAGACGTGGAGCTGATGTCTGACTCTTCGGTTCTCAGCATGCCTGGGAGAGCTATTGCTGTGGGACATAGGCCACACAGCATCAACTGACTCACAATGGCATTGTCAATGCTAGCCTCTTTGAGAAACTCTTCCTCTGTATTGCCTTCACTATGGAAGAACCAAAGGGCCTTGAAAGAGGGTAAGATAAAGTTTCAGATTTGTGCTCAGCAAAAGAGGGACTTCAGGCTGGGACCAGTGCCAAAAACTTCATGTGTTACGTTGGGGATTGTGTTGCTGTTGGTGATTTTCCTGCCAGGCTTGTACTGTGACCCTGGATCTGTGTATTAC